CCAGGTGCCGAGGCATCTTGTGCCTTCAGGGACAGCAGCCACTGGGAGTGCCTTTTCAAATGTTTGAGATGTGAGGCATAGTGATCTAAAATGCCCCGGTGTACAGGGCCGTAAAAAAACCATAATTGTACATAATTCTAAACACCAGTTCAATTCACACTAATGTGATGAGTGATTTTTATTAATTTTTTAGAAGTACATGAGACCGAGTCAGCAAGAGAAGGATGATGCAGGAGATTTCGGGAGAGGAAAATGCACGTGCAGGAACGAGAATGACAACGCAAGAGAAAGCAGCTGGGCTGAAGACGGTGCGTGCGGATTTTGTAGTGGAGGGAATTTGTACGAAATTTTATGGACTTTTAATCATTTTGGACACTGTCGTGGTGTAATGGGTCAGCACACTGGACACGCATTCCAGAAATCGCTCATTTAATCTCCGGGCATGGCAGTTGAAAAACAATGGGGCAAGTGTTCTTTTTAATCACCCATAAGTATTAATGGGTACACAACAGAGAAATACTTCCTGAGCATTCCTAACATGAGTGGCAAGTGATAGCTGAACTGGTCCCGTTGCCATCACTGCAGTATGCTCAATCAAGCCCCATCCCTCACTACCCATCTTTCATGGAGGTTGCTTGACAATGCTTGAACATGCTCGTCAGTACAGGTGAGTGATTCCGAGTCAATTCGCTCCCTCCCGACCCTGAATTTTGAGACGACTTCAGCTCACTCGCATTCAAGTTGTGGGACGCAGACCAAGCCCTCCCTGCACGTGCACAGTGTTGACAAACACTGCCATGAAGTGTCTCCACCCCCCCCCATCGTCCCTGTTCTCAGCCACCCGCAAGCATGTCCTATGCGCCCGGATGCAGCCACCCAGATGTGCGGATGAGTCACACGGGCACGTATTCCTTGTCCGTACGCACACAGGATGTGCGACGAAAGGGCCTTTCACCGCAGCGCCTTACGACACGCTCCACAAGGGAGAAGTGATACGACGCTTATTACGATACTCGTCCTACTGCAAACGTTGTGGAGAAGAGCCAGTACCCGAAATGTTGGCGTGATAAATGTATGCGCAGTAATTGTGAAAAATAAGAATTCGTTTCACCCTTCCTGGCAACAAAACAGGTGTTAAGATGTTCAAACACCAAATAGATCACCCTTTTCAAGGGATCATCTACATTAAGCACACTTACGTGTGGCAAAACAGGAACACATATATGCTCTGATAATATGTGAATTGTCTTTTAAACTTATTGACCTACATCAGAGACCTTGTCTCACCAGTGTCAGACCAGAGAACGCTAAAAGGCGAACAGTACAAAGACAATGCACTATCAGAGCACTTAAAGCTCGGGTCGAGCAGTTATATCTATGGAACCTTTTTGCCCAGTGACCGCCTTTGTTCGATGGCGAGCGAAAGTTTGATCGTCACGTGGGAAAGTGTCACTCCTTTCTGTTGCGTTAAGGACACACGTTCACTCGAATTATTTTTCAAAAGTCCCGTGATCAAAACATCTCCTTCACAGCCGTATTAGTCAATCTGAGGTTTCCGAAATGATTCTTTGTCTCATGCCGTGATGCTCATATCACAAAAGCCTGATAGAATAGAGAGAAAAAAACAAACCTGCGAACATCTTCACCGCTGCAACCTTGCATGGAAATACAAAAGCTGCAGTGTGGAGGGCACTTAAAATTGCGGTAGGGAGTACTGTAAGTGCATGCACGCACAGTACACGTGGCAGTATTTGTCAAAAAATGTCTACGCACAGCCCTTATTATTTTACTATACTTGTTTTTTTCCCCAGGAAAGCCTCATCAGGTCTGATGACTCTTGTTCTGGAGGGTCCTGTCAAGTTTTCACAGGAGGGGGTCATGATCGCTACGTATAATCCCAATTCAGTATTTTTCACGGAAAAAATGTGCCAAATATAGACGATGATGCCAACGCACAATGACCTATTCTTGCGAATGACATCACGGGATCTTTCATGTCTGGTATGCATTATTTTATGGTTAATAACCCCGCAGTATTAATCAATGTGGCTTCTGGATGCTACCTCTGCAACGAGTGGCGAATACGCCATCACCAAGCCATGTCACCACACCATGTCCTGCTTAGCTTCAGTGCTTCATTTCAGCCGGAACAGTTCGGAACGCTGTTCTGAAATATATTTTGCAAAAGCACATCCATCTTGCATTATTTTGTCCGAAACCTCTCATAGGATTTTTTTAAATATAGGGTGCGGTGATACAGATTATCTTGGATGAATGTACATTGAACGTGAGTGGCAGTGCCTTACGCCAATACTCCCTATTATAAGCCAGCTTAACAACGTTCAGGAAAATAGAGTGAGAAATGAAACACCTGCTTAGCTTGCAGCTTTCAAAGCCATTAGCACTCTTAGAACATATCTAATTAACTGTGTGTTTATAATGCGTATAAATCAATGTATTCAACAATTTACCAGCCAGTATTATGTACTTAATGCCAAAGGAAAGAACACGCCTGAGAGTACATGCACCACGGAGATGGAGCGATGAAATCAGCTCGTGTACAGGAGCGAGAAGGATTGTTGCATCACCAGACCAGGACAGATGACGACAACTTGGAGAGGTCTTCAACAAGCAGTCAATAGATCTTGGCAGATGATGATACTCTTTGTAAACATTATACGATACATGACGATACAATGATCAGAATCACATTGTATGTAATTCCTCGTCACATTGTTTTATACCGATACGTGTATATATTGAATCTGTACGATGCTTAATCCATGAATCTGGACTATAATTACACTCAAGAATGATTTGTGGTGTGAAATGGCCTGTTTCGTTTTGGAACTTTTAATGCATACAATTTCTTGGTGGAGATTTTACCAGGATCAAAAGGGTATGCCGAAGGAAAAGTAAATTTTCTAAGAAAATATATTACCTGGATAATACCTTGAGATCTAACAGCTCCATTGCAAGGGTGTCAAGTGACAAGACAGCAAACGCATAATGACGCGTATTCAAATTTTAAACATCTACAACTTATACCATCGACATTTATTCAATGTCAGATACAGGAAAGTCAAGGCAGCATGCATTAAGATTACACCACACTGGCAAACGCATTTAAAAGAAAAGCCACCAACATTTTCACACCAGGTATTGGTTCAGTTTGGGAAACCTGGTCACCCCTCCCCTTCAAAGGGTTGCATTTGAAGTAGAAAAAAACCCAATCATTATATGTTTGGTTAGATTATAAACCGTAGACTTGGTACAATAAAACAGTCAACATCTTGATAGGACACATGCTTTCCTGTTGGGTTTTTTTGTGATTTTTCCCTTTATATGTTTTCACCACTAGAGTACCGTGAAACGTGTTCTTTAGGCATTTCTCATCCACAACCAAAATGGATGCACACATCACTCACAGCAAACAAGTGGAGTTGCCTAGGGCTGCTGGGATCTCAACGCAGATGGCACTGATCCTGGGACTGAGTCACACTGGCCAGGCTCAAGACTTAGCAGTGACAGGGATGACACTCCAGCCCCGATCATAATCATTATCGGGAGCGTTGTAATCTAACAGCATTCATGCCAAATATATGCCACAACGCTGCATATTCCGCAACACGAGGAAGTGCATATGCACTTTAAGATGTTTTCATACAATGAATGATCATTTGTACATTCTTGCTGGAGGTTCAACACTCGTGGTGGAATTATACATTGTAATAGCATGCTCTGTGCCATCCTCAGGGCAACCACTGCTATTATTACATTAACAAAAATTATGACCCTTTTTCAAACCATGCTGCATAAAAATAAAACAAATCACACACATTTTGAACTAAAAACTTGTTATTAATTCTAGAAGCAAAGATTGACATTTATTTGCACGAACAAAATAATTTGAAATAATCTAGTTATCTCAACAGTGAGTTAGTTCCATATAATGCTACCACTTCTCATCAACGATATAGTGTGCTGCAAAAGTCTGTAATTGTGGCTGTCACAACAATTCCCTATTTTATATTCTTGTCACCAGCTGTGGTCCTAGTCGTGGGGAGTAGTCTCACTGTGGTTAACACACGCTGTTCTGAACCTGGAGACCTGCGTTTTTATTTCTGGCCATGGCTAATATCGAGATATCCAAACTGGTCCTGCCCTCTCCCCTCCTTTCCCCAAACCTGCATGGACCAGCGTGATAACGTAAACTCAAATAAATCTTCACAACCACCATAGCTTTGGGAGGATCTCATCCAGCAGTGGATGGGGGGCAGGAGAACTCATGCGTGGGCCACCATAACAGTAACATATCGCTACGAAGAGTGAACTTGGGTGGGCTAGAGGGACATTTTGTGACACAGGGCTCACCCCAGCTGGCCCAGAATTAAAATGACAAACACGAATGACACTTATGGTGATTTTTCATAGTAAAGGTTTTTGGTTCGATCGCGTTATTTATAAATGTGTCGCAACCCTCCAACACCCGACACGGCCAATCAGTAAAAAATGTGTCACGTTGACAAAAGACAAATAGTTCACTACTTCAGCCCACCGGTGTGTTGAAGAGTGGATCCACAACATTTACAATTTGAGTACGACGTTTCGCTGGAAATTACATTCCAGCATTTTCGGGCGATTTGTCTTTTGTCAACGTGACACATTTTTTACTGATTGGCCGTGTCGGATGGTGGAGGGTTGCGATCTAACCCAAAAACCTTTATTATGAATAATACTGGTCGAGAAATCTGTGTAACTGACTTATGGTGACATCTACACACAATAAACACAATTGTCCATGCAATTATAGCCATACAAATATATAGCAGCCAGCTGCGACTTGAAAATACCAGCAAGAGATGCTTGTGGAAAAACATTATTGACAAGCTCAGACAAAAGGTGAGGTCTTCGTTAAAATACAAAGAGAGCATGAAAATGGTGGAAGACCACTGTGCAGAACCAGTTAACAGAGAACAATTATGAAAGCACGGGCTCACCATTGCAGCTGTATCTCATAATCCGCAGCTCAGCCTCTCAACTCTGATTCCCCACGTTCAAATAATCTAAGGTCGGTGTCCGAAACATGCGGCGTTGGGGTTGAGGACTTTTATCAAGAACCTCGACGAAAGGCGAGCAATGCTACTCAACTGTAATGATATTGACAACCAAACCTCAGCCTTGACAAGGAACTAGTGGCAGGTACTGTACCCTTCCTCTGTAAATAGGGAACCCTACAGGGAAGTCACGCCATTGGCTCTCGACTGCTGGACCACTACGCACCCACGCATTGCGGTGTTGTCCCTGCTCAATTCATTAATTACAGGCACGCTCGTTCTGGTCCACCGACTACGCTTTGCAGTGCTCACTAACAGCGGTTGGATACGTACGGTGCGAAAGTAGTTCAGAACACATGAAACAATGACTCTGCATCAAGCTGTTCCAATGCACTGCAGGTGTTTTGACGGGGAGACAACCGCACTGTTAGAATCGACACTGGTGTTAGTCCATGTCCTCGATTAAGATATTTCACCTGTTGATAACACCCGTAGTGATGGACAGCAGTTATTTTGTTAAAACATTGCAACGCAGTACCGATAACTGCAAGTGTTTAAAAGGACGGTCACAATTCAATGTAGTTAGCCACGACGTTCCACGTTTAAATTTAGATTTAAAGCTTTCGTGACTGCAGGGATTCATATTCTTGGTTCTTTCGGTAAAGTCAAGTAGAAGGGAAATAATAAAATAATACAAATAAAACTATAAAATTCTCACGACGTTTCGATTGCGAAAACCACTTAAAGTGGGTTTCACACCTGATGATGATTGTTTGTGTTGCAATGGAAAAGTCGTGAGAATTTTATAGGTTTATTATTTTATTATTTCCCTTCTACGTGACTTTACCGAAAGAACCAAGAATATGTTCCACGTTTACTTTGTTTAACCAGGCGAGAGCTCAAGAGACCAGAGTGAGTCTCATTTGCAATAGTCACCTGGGTCATCAAAATGTTCAAAAGCAAAACCAAGCACACAAACTGGACATATTGGGTGTTACCAGCCTCTGCTTTGGACACTCGTATTTTGTGACCTCTGATGTCAATGTAATCACAGGGGTACGCCCGGGATGCCTTCAATTGACCTCTGTTTCACACACTCTGGCACTGAAAGTAATGTTCGTTGTATTATAAACTGATACAGTAATTTTGTATTTCTCTAAGTGCACAACCAATATTTTGGTTTGCGCAGTCATTGGTGACCTGGCTGAGACCCAACAACTCACAGAGATCTTGAGAACCTGCTTTAATTACAGGCGGATATCTGGATTTTAACCCAAGGATCTTCAAGGTGCCAAGCTCAGTGCCTCTGATCTTTGACCTCTAAAGTCAGCCGCGTCCACCTCATGAACATAGGGGCCGTCCATAAATGACGTCACGCGATTTTGGACGATTTTTGACCTCCCCCCCCCATCTCGTCACACGGCGTCACAAAAAGTCAGACCCCCCCCCTCAAATATGACGTCACCCCAAAAATAAAACATGCTTCAAATCGCTTTAAACTATTGTCATTGTAGTGCGCATTTAATGTGGCGCTGCACTCTGATGTTGTAGAGAAAACATTTATTAAAAAGTCTATTTAATTCAGTAGAACGTGTTGTCTATATTTATTTAAAGTTGCGCATTTTGACGTCACATTTCTCCCCCCCCCCCCTCCTCGTCACAAATGTCTGACCCCCCCCCCCCCTAGGTGCGTGACGTCATTTATGGACGGCCCCATAACAAAAACAGAGACGGGCGAAAACCCACGCGTGTGCGAAGAGTTAAACACTCTATCCCATACCGCCGTCTCCTGGCAAGCCACGGTATTGCCACCTTGACACCCATAGGGGGAAAGGGAGTCATATTTTTAGGTTTTTTCGGTAAAGTCACGTAGATAACAACATTATAAAGTAAAATAAAAATAAAATAAAAATCACGACGTTTTTTTACTTGATACAGCCGTCGTGGCTGTGACGGTACCACCTGAAGACGGAAGCTTGTGTTGCCTCCGAAACGTCGTGATTTTTATTTTATTTTTATTTTATTTTACTTTTTAATGTTTTTTACCTACGTGACTTTACCGAAAAAACCTAAGAATATGAATCATTGCAGTCACGAAAGCTTCAAATCTAGAAAGGGAGTCACTTTGTGCGATCCAAAAGAAACCATCGCCTCCAACAAAGTGGTTCAAGCGACGAACCCGGCGGAACGAGTTTCGATTCCCGTTCACGGCCAACACCAAGTGACGATTATATCTGGACCGGTCCTGGTGCCTCGAACGAGTAACCCGGTGCGATGGTGCATAAGGGGCCGTCCATAAATGACGTCACGCACCTAAGGGGGGGGGGGGGTCAGACATTTGTGACGATGTGTGACGAGGGGGAGGGGGGGTATAAGAAATTTGACGTCAAAATGCGCAACTTTAAATAAATGTAGACTTAACTAAATATACTTTTTAATGTTTTCTCCTACAACATCAGAGTGCAGCGCCACATTAAATACGCACTACAATGATAATAGTTTAAAGCGATTTGGGGGGGAGGGGAAAAGCTTTGTGACGTCATATTTGAGGGGGGGGGTCTGACTTTTTGTTACGCCGCGTGACGAAGAGGGGGGGGGGGTCAAAAATCGTCCAAAATCGCGTGACGTCATTTATGACGGCCCCTAAGCATCACCACCACCGGGGAGACAAAGGCGACCGGGCGTGGTGTTGGCCACCCGACAACCCATTCCTTCATCGGCGCTGCTCGCTAACAGCACTTGCCCCAACAGTCTGTTAAGGCTACACGGGGGGGGGGGGATCTTTGTCTTTGTTCCTCCATCACACGCGGAAGAGCACGGAGGGTTGGAGGTGGGGAGGTTGGTGGAGGGTGAAGGTGGGCGGGGGTAACGTGGGGGGGGGGGGTGAAAGTGGGGGGGGGGGGGGGTGAAGGTGGGCGGGGGTAAAGTGGGGGGGGGGGGCGGTGAAAGTGGGGGGGGGGGTGAAAGTGGGGGGGGGGGTGAAGGTGGGGGGGGTGAAGGTGGGCGGGGGTAAAGTTGGGGGGGGGGTGAAAGTGGGGGGGGGGGGTGAAGGTGGGGGGGGGTGATGGTCGGGGGGGGTGAAGGGGGGAGGGTTGCAGGGGGAGGGTTGAAGGAAGGGGTGAAGGGGGGGGTTGAAGGGGGGGTTGAAGGGGGGGGTTGAAGGGGGGTTGAAGGGGGGAGGGTTGAAAGGGGGGGGGTTGAAGGGAGGGTTGAAGGGGGGGTTGAAGGGGAGGGGTTGAAGGGGAGGGGGTTGAAGGGGGGGAGGGTTGAAGGGGAGGGGGTTGAAGGGGAGGGGTTTGAAGGGGGGGAGGGGTGAAGGGGGGGGTTGAAGGGAGGGGGGTGAAGGGGAGGGGTTAAGGTGGGGGGGGGTTGAAGGTGGGGGGGGGGTTTGAAGGGGAGGGGTTTGAAGGGGGGGAGGGGTGAAGGGGGGGTTGAAGGGAGGGGTTAAGGTGGGGGGGGGTTGAAGGTGGGGGGGGGTTGAAGGTGGGGGGGGGTTGAAGGTGGGGGGGGTTGAAGGGGAGGGGTTTGAAGGGGGGGAGGGGTGAAGGGGGGGGTTGAAGGGAGGGGGGTGAAGGGGAGGGGTTAAGATGGGGGGGGGGTTGAAGGTGGGGGGGGTTGAAGGTGGGGGGGGGTTGAAGGGGAGGGGTTTGAAGGGGGGGAGGGGTGAAGGGGGGGTTGAAGGGAGGGGGGTGAAGGGGAGGGGTGAAGGTGGGGGGGGTGAAGGTGGGGGGGGTGAAGGTGGGGGGGGGTGAAAGTGGGGGGGTGAAGGTGAGGGGGGTGAAGGTGGGGGGGGTGAAAGTGGGGGGGGGGGGGTGAAAGTGGGGGGGTGAAGGTGAGGGGGGTGAAGGTGGGGGGGGGGTGAAGGGGGGGGTTGAAGGTAGGGGGTGAAGGGGGGGGTGAAGGTGGGGGTGAAGGGGGGGGTTGAAGGGGGGGGGTTGAAGGGGGGGGGTGAAGGGGGGGGTGAAGGTGGGGGTGAAGGGGGGGTTGAAGGGGGGGGTGAAGGGGGGGGGGTGAAGGTGGGGGGTGAAGGGGGGGGTTGAAGGGGGGGGTGAAGGGGGGAGGGGTTGAAGGGGGGGGCGGTGCCAGGCGGAGTAATCGCAGCTCCGAGCATCCGCGATGGAGGTTCGGCGGCTTCCCCCATCACCGCGCACCCATCCGCGAGCGCGACCCGCGTTCACCGCCGGTCACGCGTGCCCCTCGTGAACCTCGCTCCACCCTCGCCTCCTCCTCCCCCCTCAGTGTTCACGCGTAAAACGAGGAGGGGAGGAGACAAGGGACACAACAACATCGCCGTGGTGAACGCGTGGCGGGGAGGAGGGAAGGCCCCACGGGGTCGTCGTCGCCAAGAGAAGCCGCCGCCGCCGAAGGGCCGACGACTCGGTGGGTCGCGCGCGAGTCGTCGACACGAGGGAGTTAATACTAACAAACAACAACAACAAACAACAACAATAACAACAACAACAACAACAATAACAAAGACGAGACGCACGTGTCATTTGTCGCGCGAGGTCGACTGCCGTGCAGGCGACGCGGTTTTATGTGAAGCCCGGAGTCAATGAACCAAGGCTGTAATTATACTATAATAATATTATATGTACTATAATTATACTATAATTATATTTAATACTATAATTATACTATAATTATAGTATTAAATATAATATAATTATAATATATAATTTTAATATATTTATAGTATAAATATATATACTATATTAATATTATATATTAATATTATAGTATAAATATATACTATAATTTTAATATAATTATAGTATAAATATAATTATAGTATAATATAATTGTAGTATAAATATACAATTATAATAAAATTATAGTATAAGTATAATAAAATTATAATATAATTATAGTATAAATATAATATAATTATAATATAATTAAAAACCCGAAAAGAACGTCCAATGTGGAGCTGGAGTGATGAAATTAGCTTGGATGGACTGACAAACCTGGGTGACAGCAAGAGGAGGTCTTCATCCAGAGGTGGATTGATCGTGGCTCTTTATGATGATGATCCTAAAGGGTTAACAAAAACCCTTCAACCACTCAAGGCGTTGCATTGACCACAGTGGAAAACACAGACTCAATTCTTGGAATCGAATCATGACCTCGAATTATGACAATTCATGATACAGTATCCCAAGGAGGTGAATGGTTCGATGGTGAGTAGATACTGCACCGGGACATGGCTATTATTTATTGTATTATTACGCTTGCTAAATCTGCAAAGCCTCACTGAGTCTCGTGACCTTTTCAGGAGGGTCTTTCCAATTATTCACAGCAGGGGGCAATGTTTGCTTAAGTTTCATCCCAATTGAGTAATTTGCAGTGTCGTTTTCAAAATGTAGACCATGACGCCAGTAGACAATGGGGTAGCCTTGCGATTGACGTCACGCGATCTTTAACGTCCACATTAAAGCAGACGGCATTCATTTTTGCGATTAGCACGTTCCTTCGGAGTGGGCAGGTAGGAACTTGGTTGGACAGCGCATTCGATATGCACGACAGACAGACAAATAATCCCTGGTGGGCAGTGTGGAACCTGTTGTTCCTACCTGTAATACACACCGCAGTATTAACCAGGGTGGCTGTTTTAATTCAAACCGTGAACCTGCAACAAGCGGCAAATGCACCGCCGCTAGGTTACATCACCGTTGGCATCGTCACGGCGGTAGCGATTGATGGTTGCGATGTGTCTGCGTGCAGGGAGACCATGACGACGATGCTGCGTGCGGAGATGCAGGCCGAGGAGCAGTTGCCGGCATCGTGTGTCGCCATGTGCCCTGAGAGTGAACGTGCCGAGCGTGAGCGCAAGCGCCGACTCCATCGCCTCGAGCTGCTGCCGGGCTCCGAACGGGAGCGGCTGCCCAGGGCCGACCCGGCTCGTGCTGTCAAGGTGAGCGAGCTGTTCGGTCGAATAATAATGTTAATAATACTCTTGAGAACGATTCGTTGTTGTAACAGCGCCCTGAACGTACGTCGGGGCATCTCGCAGCGCTTCCCATCTCACATTTGAAAGCGTGCCCCCAGTGGCACTTAGGGGACTCAATGATAATTTTCGAATTTTAAAAATTGGGATCGCACACGATGGCCTACTCATGTGAATGACGTCAGGGATATTTAACGTCCAATGTGAAGCGGACGGCATGTATTTCTGTGGTCAATTCACCCACAGTATTAACCAGGGTGGCTGCTAACTTCGAACTGGGAACCTCTACAACAAGGGGCGAACGTTGCTACCGTGAGGCCATGCAGCGTCATTTACATGCAGCTGCATCACACAATTCTGTGCAAGCTGCAAGCTTGGAGAAGCATATATTAAAATAACTTCTGATGAGTGTCTATGCATAAGAAGGGGAATATCAGAGCACCCGGAGTAAACCCACACGAGCGTGGGGACAAAAAGCTAATTAAAAACGTTTTATTTTACCAGGTAAGGCCCCACTAAGTTATATAGCTCTTTTTCAGAAGTGACCCGGCCACAAATGATAGCTCAACGAAGTGGTTTATCGTGTGGACATTTATTGCAGCCAAACACTCTAAAAGCATGTTTCTAAATGTGGAGGGAAAAACCAGAGGACCCAGAGAAAAAATCCACACGACCACAGGGAGAGAGACATGCAAACTCCAAATAGGCGTCATGGTCAGGATCAAACCCACGACCTCTTCTATACCAGGCGAGGTATTTAACATCTCGCCATCATGGCGCCCTACAGTCATATACAGATGGTACATATGGAGATTAGTCCAAACCAGCTGTACCACATTCTCCTGGCAGGTCAGGGTATCGATCCTCGATGCCTGCAGGGAGTGTCACTACATTTGCATGATCCACCAATTCCCACTGCCTCCACGGTGCTGGATTTCCAGCGTGCGCCACCATCGCCCGTCTGCCACTATCGTCACACGCTTATCCTCATATTTTACCCAAGTCTCAATAATAATTCGCGTCGTGGAGAATATAACTTACAAATGAAGTAAGCAGACTACGCCTCCTTCCCATGTGTGTTCCTCCACGTTAAAAAAACAAGTTTTTTTAACATATCCTTTCAGCCACAAAGTCTTCTGGGAGTGATTTTTTTCTCTCGCAGCTTTGGTTTAATGTAAGCAAAAACTGGACCGGTTTTAACAGTGTCTCACCAGTAGTCCAGCTTGCTTATATCAATGCTGGAAAACAGCCAGACGTTTATGGGTGAGGACTCTTATTAGATATGGGTCCTTGTTCATTAACTACACTCATGAATGTCTTGTGTCATGTATTACTCTACGTAGCTTTGTGTCATACTAGGACCCATATTTCACGGAAACATTTTGCTTGTTAAATACTAAATACATGGTTGGTGGGCCTTAAATGACAGTGACGGGTATTCACAATATCAGCTACCTTATATGCGTTCTCCTTAACAAGCAGTGGCGATTGACAATCTTTCCATGGGGTGAAATCAGCTTACTCAATATTTTCCTTTCCCTCCGCTCCATGACGCGACGCTCGACACGTCAGGAGTACTCGCGCCCGGCCGCCGGCAAGCACCGGCCGAGGGCCTCGGAGCTGCGTCCCCCGGCCGTGCTGCTGCGCACCGTCGACTACCTCATCGACGGCGTGCTGTGCCCGGCAGACGAGGCGTCGCCGCGCTCCACGCCGTTCGCCGAAGCCTACGACTTCACCTTCGACCGCCTGCGCGCCGTGCGCCAGGATGCGGTGGTGCAGCGCGCCAGAGGGCCGCACATCGTGCTCGTGCTGGAGAAGAGCGTGCGCGTGATGGTCTACGCCAGCTACCGCCTCTGCGAGGAGACGCTCGCCCACTTTGAGCCCACCATCACCGACTGCCACCTGCAGGAGTGCTTCAGCTGTCTGCTGCGGAACTACTCGTCCGAGCGCTGCCGCAACGAGGGCGACTTCCAAGCCCTGCACCTCCTCTACAACATGGGTGCGTGCGGCGCGAGTCACATTCAGAGCGGGCCTGTGCGATTGATGCCCACGGCCGGTTCTCGTGCAGTGCACACGCCAGGATACATACCTCGTATGTGCACAGACCTTTTGTCAATCCGCTTGCTTGGATGGGGGGATTTTCTTGCCTTTCACTTGTGGGGGTTGTTTGACCAAAGGGTTCACTCCGAGTTCCAGAGTGCTCATTTTCCCCACATGGTGACCACTCAAACAGGTTTAACCAGTGTGCTCCTTGCCAAAGCGATTCCTTTCGCAAGCCCCGACTGATTGACGGCAGGGATTAAGCTGGCCAGCTGTCGAATGTGGCATTCTTCTAGGACGTTGTAAGTGCCCTTCGCGCAGCCTGTCGTCACCGTGAGAGCCGCCAGGCATTGCGTGCAGGGTGTGCTTTCGCACATGCGCGATGGCCACGTGGTCGAGCCCTGCCTTCGTCTGGGGACCAGAGAAATGCTTCTTGTACAGGGAGGAGACACCTGTTGGTGTATGGCTGTGAAGCCATACATAAATCCAAACTCTTCATAAATCAGAACTTGTTTTAAGTCCTATTTCACATTAGTTTAACACGTAGGCTTTCACGACCAATATCCATATGGAGAGCAAATCTACAACGGATTTGTTCTCCAACACACCGGTGTGCTGTACTAGTAACGAATTGGTATGTTTGGTTTACGTGACAAACCTTACTAATTGGCTGTGTCAGATGGTGGTGGGTTTAACGACACATTTATAAAGACTTATAGCTGTCGTGACTGCAGGAATTCATATTCTTTGGGTCTTTCGGTAAAGTCACGTAGAACAATTTATTTTTACAAAAAACTGACGTTTCAATCGCAACACAAGTAGTCATCATCCTTTTTTCCTCCTGATGACGATTGCTTGTTGCGATCGAAATGTCGTAGTTTTGTTATTTTTTTTTTCTACGTGACTTTACCGAAAGACCCAAAGAAGACATTTATATTTACGCAATTTAACCCAAACAAACTATTGCTTCACATTGTTCGACTCAATGTTACTAAAAAGCTGTTTATTTATTTAAGTATTCACAAACCCCATTAATATTATTCCTGTGTTGTTGATATTCATCAGGTTCCTTCAAAGCATTGCACTACGCATTGCAGCGACCGCCAGAGATCCGGAGCTCCCAGGTCATGCGACTTGCCTTGGACATAAATCGCTGCTACCTCGAGGGGAACTTTGTGCGCTTCTTCAGACTGGTGCGGCGCCTCCCCTTCCTGCACAGCTGTGCCGCACACCGCCACTTCCGGCTCGTGCGGCAGCAGGCGCTGCGCACCTACTCGCACGGCCACAGCGTGCGCAACTGCCGCTACCCGCTGGCGCGTCTGTCGGAGCTGCTGGGTTTGGACAGCGCCGGCGAGGCGCGGAGCCTGTGCCAACACTGCGGCATCTTGGTCGGCGAAGATGGTTGCATCGCCTTTCAGAAAACAGCCATGAAAGTCTCTGTGGATCTGCCAAAGTCGGCTCGGTGCATCGCCCTGGTGGACAGCAAGCGTGAGGAGTGGACCCTGAGAGAGATCCTCCATGGCTCGCAGCACCAAGAGGGAGATGCTGCCTAATTGTTGTATGCTCGAGTGTGTTATTGGGAATTATTAGCAGTTTCCACAACGGAGATGTCAAATTTTTTAAGATATATTTTAAAGTATTTTTTTACATCCGTTTCAATAAATGCGTATTATAATTGTAAAATGTGCAAGTCTACTTGTTTAAAAAAGTTATTTCATTTATAGGCCTTTGTCAATCTACTGTGTGGTATGAAGGCCTCCCCACACCTGACCATTCTTTACCAGGCTTGCAGTGCAGGTTCGTGGAAGGTGTGCCAAGAACCGGTTCAGTTATCACTCACCACTGGGGAGGGACTGCATCATTGCTTCACCCGTTTTCGGATTTAAAAAAATTGTCAGTTTTCAATCAAGTCATAAAACTGACAAATATTTGCCCATACCAAATGGTGCACATCTAAAACAGGACCCTGCGGGGTGGGCTGGTAGGAACGAATAACCAAAGAATATAAACATAATGTATTATTACACTTGTTTAGCCAGGAAAGCCCCACTGAGTCTAAAGGTTTTTGTATGGTCCTGCCAAGTGTTTGCAGTAGGGGGCGATGTTGCTACACCGAATCGGACGATACGAAGGGAGAGATTGAGGCCTAGTTCTAGGCTTTAGGCCTAGCTGTAGGCTTTAGGGCGCTGTGAGTTAATTTTTAATTTAAGTTTTAATGATTTATGTAAAAGCTTTAAAGTTAAATGTTTCTATTTAAAAACATGAGGGAATGTAACATTGTTAAACATAACTCCCTTTCACACACGCGGGGGTACGATACGAAGTGAGAGTTTCAGGCCTAGTTCTAGGCTTTAGGCCTAGCTGTAGGCTTTAGGGCGCTGCGAGTTTTTTTTATTCAATTTAAAAGTTAATTAAAAGCTATCTCAGGGAATTATTAGGGCGCTGTGAGTTTTTTATTTAATTTAAAAGTTAATTAAAAGCTATCTGAGGGAATTATAAGGGAATGTTACACTTGTTTTAGCCAGGATAGCGTCACTGAGTCAAGGTTTTTGTAGGGTCATGCCAAGTGTTTGCAGTAGGGGGCGATGTTGCTACCAGGATAGCGTCACTGAGTCAAGGTTTTTGTAGGGTCATGCCAAGTGTTTGCAGTAGGGGGCGATGTTGCTACACGGACGGACACATTAATCTATTGGTGGTCTGGTCCACTTCGTTCCTACCAGTATAATGGTAAGTTCTTGTGCTGCGTGTGTCATCCCACAACGATGGCAACACTGCCTAAGTGAAGCATACACGAACACTGTACATGCTCTGTGAACCAGTTTTTGTTAATGGGCGATTCAGGCGAGATATACTTGGACATGTTCTCTTTATTTGTCTGAAAAAACAAAACCCCATGCGAGTACAGAAATGTGAAATGGCTGTGCATCTCGGTATATCACAAAAAAACTTTCATCAGTAAAATTGGTAGGTTACCAAGTCTTAAGCATTTTAAATGAAAGCAATGAAAACGTTGATCATCTTAAAACATTTAGGACTTATGGACTTCGTTGAGAAACATTATCGTTATATCTTGACGTAAAGCTTTTGTGACTGCAGAAATTCAAATGCTTGGGTCTTTTGGTAAAGTCACGTAGATAGGTTCAAAGAAAATAACAAAAAAACTACGACGTTTCGACCGCTTGTATTGCAATCGAAACGTAGATTTTTTTTTATTATTTTCTTTGAACCTATCTACGTGACTTTACCGAAAGACCCAAGCATATGCCTTGCCGTTCTAATTTTAGGATTTCTGCTATCCAAAATACTTCCTGTGAACATATGATCCATATCTCAGCGAGTACAATTAAATTCTAGCAGGACTAAAAAATTGTTAGTACGCCATTATACAACAGACACCTGTAGGACTGTCACCTTATGTTTTAAACAGTATTTGTAAATGTTTATTCTAAACTCAAAGGATTCACACTTTAAAAAATTCTTATAACACTTTTATGTAAAGGAAATTTGTCGTGTGATGTTCTTTACCGTTTTAAGGACCACCACAAGACACGATGGACACAATAGGTGATATATTCAGACGACGGCTTTGTTAGAAATGCTGGGAAGGACAAAACTACAGTACTGATGATCATTTAAGTATATTCTACATTAACAAATCCCATTTTAAGGTTAGAAATTGAATAGCCATTACGTTAGTGAGGTGAGCACAATTGCACAGTGAACACCAGTCGTTCCATTTAGTCCAAGAACCCAGGCAAGAGATATTTAATTTGTACCACTTGAGGTGGCATGGCTTTAGTGGTTCCAATAACGTAGATTTTGTGATGACTATTTAAAATGAGTGGGTTATCAAATAATTCACTATTAGTCGTCGTATGAATACATAAGTACGACTCAAGTTTTCCTGCTCTGGCCCATGGACTAATACTGAGAATCTGACCTCACTCTTGGAGGGCGACTGTGCAGACACATGATTAATTATCCTACACATGATTTATTATCCTACACATGATTTATGATCCTACACATGAGCAGCTCAATGCTAGATTTCTAGGCGAGGTCATGGCAAAAATGCAAATTAATAAATTTCCAATGGACTGCAAAGCTTCACCTTCTAATCAGTTTGCATAACACTGCCCCTCGCTGTACTTTGAGCCAAAAAAAGCCACGATCAAAATATGACCATTTTTGTTTAGAGGCAATAATTGAAACCCAACAAAAGCTTGTACGTAAAGGGACCCCCCCCCCCCCTCTGGCGCCATTCCTTTTACTCTCCTATACAATCCTTTGCAAATGTGCAATGTTTAGGCTGGCACAGCTGTAACAAGGAAAAGTGAAGCTGCAAAATGGAACTCACTAGGTTAGTGTTACATGGCAATACGACAACAAAAATAATAAATTGTATAAACTATCAATTGGTTTTGCAACACTTCAGTACTACCGGTAAAATAAAACGTCTGCATTTGACAAATTCTAGTTCAATATAAAGGGCAAAAGGTACAGCATCCTTTTACAGATTATTACACTTTAACATTTTAAGCACAACCTAAAATGGGCACCGTGCACAAAATAATCTCTCAGTCACTCATGAGCATCCCACGCTTTTTGCTTGACCTGGTATTCTTAAATTTATTCCTGGTGTTTGGCTTCTGCAGAGCCACGACAGGGGAGCTCATCTCTCCAGCCTTGGCCTTCTTCTTCACGATATTCTCCTTGACGGGGGTGTCGGAGGCAGCATCAGTATTGGTGGGGGTAGCTTCATTCGCCACTTGTTCCTCCTCGGTGATAGATATTTGCTCCTCTGCATCTGCCTCTGAGGCTTCCTTCTGGGTTGGGTCATCTTCCGTGTAGCTGAGAGCGCCGTCTCGCTGAGGTTGCTCAGCAGTGGGTGGAGGAACCTGCGATAAACAGTGAGTTGTGGCATCTCTGCAAATAAAGGAGGGTTGACTGTGCTGTGGTTTACTGTGCAATGCGGCATTGCATCTGCGCACAAGACACGAGCTGGATTCGGTTGACGTAGCATCACATGGGTTTTCAAAAGTTAACTTACCTTGGACTTTGTACATTATTATATCGAAGTTTGTAGAATACTTACATATTTACGTACATAAAATGTGTGCAACTAATTTTAGGTACAGAGTGCTTAATGAATCGTCATGTACTTACGTTGGCAGCAACGGAGGTGTCTATGTTCTCATTGGCAAGGGTTTGGCTGGACTGAGTGGAGACCACTTGTTTATTTTCACCGTTGTCTTGCTCCGCTGCTGCTTCGTCTGATCCACTTGCATCCATAGCAGCGTTGCTGGTGTCTCCCTGCACGCAGTCTCCCTCCACATGGTCCGTCTCCACACCTGGAGCAGCGGCCGGCCCTTCGTCGTTTTCTGTTAATGCTGCCACCTCCCCTGGGCCCAGGGCCACGATGTCACTGGGTTCCTCCTCATCCTCCTTGTCGTGGACATCACGGCAGATTCATGGTGGGGAGTTGAAAAATTACAATGCAAAGAACATCAGCCTCAGGGATGAAGGTGGAATTCATTTGTGATACCGAGATGGGGCATTCCTCAGTCAATTAAGACATGTATTAGTATTTGTACTCATTTCAAAGGTGTGGCATATTTGTGTAATTTATGAGGAAATGGCCTAATTTAAACTAACATGTTTATTTATTTATTTTACATTGAGGCTATACACATTAAATTTGCCCTCCATAACACAAGTAAAATTCTGTTTAGTTCACCTTTTAATATAAACTTAGTTTAGTTGGTTATTACTGAATACTGCATTAAAATTAAAAGTGTTAGGATAAAGAATCTGCATGAAAGTTCCATAACAATCCCGATCTTGTGGAATGCCCCCCAAATACAGCCAGTTTTCCATTTAGGATAACTTCGGGGGAAGTTTTCGGAAGGGAGAGGGTTAAAACGACTAAACACTAAAACAGGATCCATTTACGTGCAAATAAGTTAATCAAATCTAAGTTTTTGCAGGTAACTGCAATATGGTAGCGTTTTCAACAGACTATACTGTTTATACCTTTCGTACTTTACTAAGATAAACACATCTCACCTCTTCAGAGTCATCCACCAACACCACATCGGACGTGTGGATCTCGATTTCAACTTGCTGATTGTTCTCGTCTTTCTGTTCGAGCTTTATTCGCTTTAATCTGGAAGACAAAGTGGTAAACACGGCCACTAACCCAAATGCTGCCGTGTGCCGTCGTGCAGCAAATTACTTGTGCACATCACCATACATATAGAGCACTGCTGGTTGCAGGCTTCCCCACGCTGTGCGGATTAAGGAGCGTTATTTAACCATGATTTATGCTGTCTATGGCTTGGTGAAGGTAGGGATCTCCGATGAGCGCCGTTGGCTTCGTACGGCAGGAAAGAAGTTCAGCATGCGAACATAAATCAGACAAATGTACAGTAGTATCAACAATCTATTCTGCTGCACTGACACCTGCTGGTCACCACGCAGTCACGCGGCATATAACACCAACGATCCTTCAGATGTAAAATTACAGGTGGGGGCCCTCTTACTTTCTGCCGGCGTTTGAGCTGTTCTTGGGAGACTCCTGTCCTGCCAGCACCTCGGAGAGACACACGAAGAGCTCCTCCGAGTGGAGCCGTTTGTGCTTCACATCTCTCTCCTTAATAACGATCGGGGTTTCCTCGATCCCTGAAACCCAGCAGACCATGTTACCTTTTGCTCTCCCCATGAGAATGACATTCACAGTGAGGTATTATACAGAACAAAATGCGTGGCCGTGTGCTAATAAACACAACGAAGAATTATTTATAAACATGGTCGTGTTTTTAAGAGGTTGGAAGAGTGGATACTACTGTGCACTATGAAACTGGTGATCTGAATTCACCATCACGGCCACAATATGCAGCAGCGAGTGATATCTTGGACCCTCTTTCCCAACCAACGATTCACCAGCCAGCACTCACCGGTGCAGTGAAGTATTTTAAGTGCAGTTTTATGGTATTATGTTCAAAGAACCAAAATGTAATAACCTAATTTGCAAGTTTTGTTTTTGCCATTTTACTTGTTCTAGGAATCGACCAATTAACATTGGTTACCAAATAATAAAAAAGTACCCAACATCACTTGAGTGAAAGACAAACGTGCATACGCATGAAAATTCACATACACATGGATTTTAGAACGCTTTTCAACATGTGTTTGTCCTCAGAAGTAATCAATTAGCGATGATAAACATCCGTTCCAAGTCGCTTACAATGAGATGACGTTACACATTTGTACATACGACGTAGAAAGATGCCATGCATTATTGCCTTCGTTGCCAAGGATACTCGTCTTAGAGCTGGGGTTTATCGCTAAGATTTGGGCAACCGTTTGATCAAAGTGGCAGGTTTTCTGTCGGGCAAGTCACTAACAGCAACACAACTTTATATTAGTTTTTTATTTTACCATTGGATTATCTTTATAAGTTATCTTCAGAAAAACAGATGGACATGGTTGATGCATTAACGCTTTCAATTTTGGTTGGAAAGCATTAATAAGGCAATCTGGACTTTTAGATTGAAAGGGCAACCCTGTGGTCAATTTAAACTGCACTTAGGACAGGTTTGATCAAAATTAACTGACAAAAACGTGAAGTTAAACACGCGCAAAAAACAACGGGAGGGGGGGGGGGGGATGGTGGCATCACCAAGGGTGGACAAGGTCTGCGCTGTGGGCCTTACCAGAGTCGACGGACTGCGCTGGGTTTGATCTGGTTGCTGATTTTTGTGTCGTTGAGATTGACTCCTCATCTTCCTCCTCCTCACTCAGCATATTTCCTGATTGTGTTGTCCCGTTGACAACACAAGGGGTTAAAGGTGGTGGTTAAATGGATTCAAAGTTAAAATGTCCACTCAATGAACACTGCATTGATTTTTGTTTGGATACATGTGAATTAAAGTCTTAACAGACAGTATATGCCTGCAGCCTATCTATTTGAAAAATAGAAAAAAATTCTGTATTGTTCTCTTTCATACAACATCTGCTCTTTTTGGTTATATTTAATTTTCAACGGAAGCAAAAACACAACTCAATAACTTACCATCTTCATCTTGAATCACCATCACAGGAATAGAATACCCCAACGGAGACCCTTCCTAAAACAGACAAAAGTGTTGAGTGAAACTGGACATACTCCATCATGAAAACAGAGATAGTCCAACATTTTGGGCAATCCCCCTTTATCAGAACAGGAAGGGCAGATCGAAGGTTATTACAATATTTAATAATCATGATTTATACCCCTTCATCGATCACTACTGAAGGCCTCTCTGCATGCCGTTCACTGCTGATTTTAGCCGTTACCTGGAATTGAACTGGGTTCCTAATACAGTGCACACTATTAACTGTGCAATCGCTTCTGCAACTGTTAGCATTTACAATGTTTACATATATCTATCCCCGGCATCTACACCACTGCTAAATGTAATAAGATAGGTTGATCCAATTTGAAGTATGTAACATACCAGGGCCCCAACAAACACAACTTTATAAAATGATTGCAATGGGAATTTGATCTCATGCAGCATAGGGTGACCAACCTGGCTGTTATGCTCTGGAGTATTGAGTGGCTTTGCATCACCATCACTAATGGGCAGTTCTTCTTCCTCTTCCGCTTCCTCCATATGCACCTCCTCCTCCTCTTCATCTTCAGAGGACATCTCTTCTGCGACATTTTTCATGGGCGGCTCGTTTTCCGTATCATCTGCGAGCGGCGTTAACTCCTTGTTGTCATCTGTTGGCAATTGCTCTTTATCTTCAACAAGTGTTGGCGTTTCGTCATCTTTGACAACCACCTCTTTGTCCTCCGTGGGCAGATCTTCTCCTGTGTCTTCAGCTGTGACTTCGTCATCTGCACCATTGGAGATTAATGATTCCTCATTGCTGGAGGGTGACTGTTTCTCGATGTCATCTCCTGGTAGCTCTTCGTCTGCATCGCTCTGTAACAGCTGATCTCCATCATTCGAAGGAGGAGCATGTGCTTGCATGACCTCCTCTGCGGATGTTTGTATGGCCACGCTTTGCCTCTCCACTGGGGTGTCTGCGATGTCAGTGCAGTTCTCTCTCCTCGGCTCTGTGAAACAGTGACGCCACGGTAATGGTTGAGCAATCGGGGATTATCTCAGCACCATCTGCCATTCGCATTATTTCAACTATTTTGTATGTGGACTAGAATTAAAAACGTTGCGATACTGTATAGATACACTAAGATGCCTGGGGCCTCTGGCAATCGGTGCATATGGTATGACCTTAAAAAAAATTCAGTCCTTAAAAATACCACTGACACTGATTTCATGAAATAATATATTACAAGTTCATGTTTTTCTTACTTTACGTCAAAAATCAATATTCCCATGCTGTAATTAGCACTGGGTAGTGCTTATCTCTAACAGTGGCCCTGAGAAAATGACCTACATTCCATGTTCTTGTTGAGAGGCCCAGTCTCTCTCACAAAAACAACCACAGCTGTAATGTTACCCAGTGATGCTGGTTTTACAGAGGAGGGGGACAGGTACAATGCACCCTGCCTGGGATGGGAACTCACAACCTTAGGATTATGAGCAGTTGTTCCAACTGACCCTGTAAATTAAACTAATGAGGTGTTGCACAAATTATGCAACCTCACTGTCAAATAAAAAAAAATCTACCTAATAATTTGGCATGTCATTTTGATGGTAATTGTCAATAGTTTTGGAAATTGCAGCTTATATATGCAACAAGATAGTGAGTTAACAAACACATGACATGTTAAGCATCATCACCATTCAAAAGTGCAAGTAAAAGTCAGTTTTGAGTCCATCAGACACTGTTTTTTTTTAGCATTTCTCTCATCAATAAAGGTAGTCAAATTATTTATACTGGAATTACAGTGCCAATTAACACACGATACCCAAGTATAAAGCCACAATATAATACTGAGTACCCAAATTAAAATTGTCTAAAATGATGTATGTCTAAAGTTGTGGAACTACCCTACTTTATCTGATACTAACAATAATCCCAAATAAAAATACCCCCTAATAAACGCTAAAAACACAACTGTTAAAAGCTGATGAAACCGATAACGCTGCTACTGTTACACCCCAGGAACGTACAGGGCGTTTATAAGCGTGTGAATGTCGCACTGTGACTTACTCTGCTGGGGGATCGGCGTACTCTGCAGCTTCTTCCACACATTCACCCGCTGGTACGGATCACCAGGGGCCTGCACCTCCCACAGTAGGTCCAGCTCATCCGGGTACTGCTGCAAATATCTTTCCACCACTGCAATGAAATAAACACCGCCACTACATCGTTTTAATTGAAGGTAGGCAGAGTGACGATGTTACAAAGCACATGCCATTGGTGGAAAGCAGTCTAATAAGTGGGACTATATAATTATGTGTGTGTGTGTGTATATATATAATGTTTACTCATGCAACAAAGACTCATTGAGTCTAAAGACTTTATCAGCAGAGTCGTAAATTTGGATGTTTGGCAAATTCTAATTTAAGCAGTGTTTTGCATGTGGTAGAAAATGAGTCGTGAAGAAAACGCACAAATATGATGGTTAATAAAATAATACATAGATGGAATCAATAACCATTTATGTTGTTCTGCCATTTCTTGGCCATTCCTGTAGCTCATCGGGAATGGCAGTTTCACAAATGTCAGTGATCCATCAACCCTCATCTCCCAAGTGCTGCATTAGAGGCCTGTACCTCTCTCGCAACCTCAAATCTTGAATGTTCTATCAGTGCACATGACCGTGTGTCCTTTTATAATATACGAAGTAGCAGCTCTACAACCAATATTCAATGCACAATTAATGTAAATCAACAGTTTATATCCTGCACTTGTGGTACTCAATAATATTGCATGCAGAATATGTATGGAAGATGCATATTGGGGCATTTAACAATAAACACTTGGTGATATTTAATGACTGAAACGATGAAGATCTTCAGCCACTTATTCTCAAACAAGTAGCTCACGATGGGATATGCGATGCTGTATTGCACACATCTCGTGCAGTAGTCCTGCGTGCGGGAGGGGGCATCACCTCGGCACATGGCAGGAGGCAATGGGTACTTGAGGCCCAGCTGATCGTCGGGGAAGCTCCGTGTGAAGTCTTGCAGCATGAGGAGGCCCAGGCGTTGCCCGCGACATTTCCGCGTCACGAACATGGAGTCCAGCACGGGCAGCTTATAGTGGAGGCTCACGAAGCTCGTGCAGAGACTCCCTGCAAGAGACACGCACACGCGCGGGGGGTACACACCAACACAGCAGCGGTCAGCGCACGGCTCCTCCATCCTCACAGCTGTTAGCAGCTCGTGTAAAAGGTGCGGATGGGTAACATGATTTCATGTGGTATGTTCAAATAAAGGGAGGAGTGTAGAGACAGTGGTTTGTGGACTCTACTATAAACCTGGTGACATGAGTTTGATTCCCGGCAATGACTAAGATCAGTGTGAATGATATCTGAACCGGTTCTAGACCTCAGCCCCTTCACCAATCCGCACTGAGCAGCATCGTGAATTAGTCAAACAACCCCTGTGGGGAGAGCTTCATCCAGCACTGGATTGATAAATGGCTGTAAATCATTCTTTTTTATTTAACAAAACAAAAGATGAAATGCGGCAGAGAAACATGGAGAAGTGCATGCTTTGAATTGCACGGACACAGAAAGAGGAAGACATGGATTCGAGGAGAAATGCGAGTTAAAGACATTGACTGCTAAGAAATAGCAGACTTAAATAGGACACATTGCTCATAGAGATGGCAGCTGGTGATTTAGACTTAGGACAGTTGCAGCCAAAGGAGGTAACATGCCTGAGTGGCGGTATAGTGATGAAATAAATTCATGTGCAGGAGCTATCTACGTTGTATTGTGCGGCTGTGCAAAATGGTGACAGCTTGGAGAGGCCTTCATCCAGCAGTGGGTTGACCATGGCTGACAATGACTTAAACCAGGTGAAAACTCGATGAGCTGCACATTGCCCTTGCAGATTTGCTTGTTGTAAATGTTACAGTGCAGAAGAGGTAAACCTTACCGCTGTCAACTATTGGCTGTCAGTGAAAGCACAGCAAGCCACAAATAGCATTATCAAGGCACGTACATCAGTTAATCACGCATGTGTCTGTGTTTGTCAAATTTCACACTTAACTTCTAATTTAGCAATCTTTGGAAGAACGCAATCAACCAGGCTATGCGTTAACTGTGTGTTAACCGACTCTGTGTGTTGCATTGCATTACATTTCCAAAATTTTTGCTAAGTTCGTTTTCTCAAACTTCCTATTTCTCTCTCTAAAATTACCGGGCTTGTATAGGTACATCTGCTCTTTCTCACCCCCCCCCCCAGCCGCTGCGGGGTGGATTTCCTCACAACTCTCTCATTGACATGATAATTTCTCTGCTCCGGGCACCCCCACAGTTCTTTCTGCCCCCCTCTCTCTATTTAAGGCCTCGACACAGAGAGGCGTTGTGTGTCTATGTGTGTGTCTCTGTGTTGTCTCTCTGCTTGTGTGTCTGTCTGTATGTTTTGTCTCTCTCTAAAATGTATCAATCTTTGGATGAACGTAATCAACGAGGTAGGGTGTTGACTGTTGTGTTGGCCGACTCTGTGTTGTATTGAATTGTATTTCTAAGTTTACTAGGTTTGCTTTCTACCTGATTACGATTGCTTGTGTTGCAATCGAAACGTCATATTCTGTTATTTAATTTATTTTCTTTCTACGTGACTTTACCGAAAGAACCAAAGAGTTAATCATGCATGTTCTGATTTAAAAAGTCTCTCAAAGCATTGTTCTCATCCTGCAAAAACGAATGCATCAGGATACTTGATAAAAGCAAACACACAATAAGCTGACGACGTTTCATTTTAAGTAGATTTGAAAAGTAGACACTTTGTGAAAGAGTAGTAAAGCAAGTCATAATGACCTTTCAACCAATCCAGCAAACCATGAAAGTGTTAGTTTAACATAATCAACAAATTGCAATTCACGTTGTATACTAATGCTGCATGTTCCATGTTACATAAGCATCTAAACTACGTCTTCAAAGACGGATTGCAGCACAACATGGATAATCTGAAAATCCCTTGTCCCATTTGGATTTCACGACCGCAAACATATCATGATGGTCCTTCATAATCCGGCATTACTCGGTTGCAAGTTAGGAAAATCGGGGAAACTGTGAGGAGCCAGACACCGTTCTTTATGACAAATTTACCAAACAAGTGAAGTGTGTAGCCATTGTACAGGTATGGTCATAAATCAACAGTGTGGCAGTGTTTTTGGGGTTGCTCGTCATCAGCATGTATAACACCTTTAACACTTTGCATGGAAAAAGCATCTTGCCTAAAACTATCAACGTAGAACAAGGTAACATAACATAAGCAAGTGTCTCTTAAATGCCAAGGCATTTGCAATAATTGTTCGGGTTGTTAGTAAAGTTTTTCCATCATTTCCAAAGAACAATTGCAAACCAATGACCTCCCAATGCCACACTCCGAAAATGTTAATCAGACGTCATGTTTGACCAGCTGACTGGCTAGAGACACCCATATTGTTGTAGCTCATAAAAAAAAGACTTTGAGAAATGCTGAAGCAAACCCATGCGATGTGCAGCTATAAAGACAAAAGCTGTTTAGAAAACAATACAGAATGACATTTCACCACCAGCCAGTGCGCGTGACTCAACATGGCCACGGCAAGCTCTGTCGTGGCCAAATGAACCGCCGACGACTGCTTTAAATCGTTAAGTTAGCGGGTGGTGAATGAAGGTAGGAACAAAATCAAATGTTACTAAGACTATGATACTCTTTGGTTCTTTCGGTAAAGTCACGTAGGTTATAAATAAAATAAATTCAAGCGTTGCGGGGACGCTAGGAGAGGGAGACGTGAAGCACGTAACGCTCCCCTCCCCCTTCCCCCCTCCCTTGCCCCCCCCTACCCCCCTCCCTTGCCCCCCCCTACCCCCTCTCTTACCTATATAACACCTCTTACCACGGTATTTCTCTCCCACTTCAGCAAAAATTTCTTGCTGTGGTTTTCCCACCCGATGATGATTGCTTGTGTTGCGATCGAAACGTCGCGATTTAATAAATTTGATACCTACGTGACTTTACCGAAAGAACCAAAGAGTATGGATCCCTGCAGTCACGAAAACTTCAAATCTAGGACTTTGATAATTAAAACTTCTTGCGATTTTATCTACTGTCATAATATAATTAAAGAATATATTTTCTACACTGGAAAACACTAACATCTGTAGTGGCCGTAGGTTTCATTAGAACCAACTTCATTTTTATTTAAGTTTTTCTTCCAATTCCGTTCCAATAACATGTACATCATCGGAACTAAATTGTAAGAAAAACTGATGACGTACACCTACACCATCGGAATAGAAAATGATTGAGAGCATTCATTTTTTTTCAGGAGGGTATTTTCAGGTGTTTGCAGGAGGGGGTGATGTTGGTATGTGTAATTCCATTTGAGCAATTTGCAGATAATTTTTTAGTAATGGGATGTTTGGCCAATACTATTTGCAGTGGTTTTATTTCTTGTTATGGGAGAAAACCGAAGAACCCAGAGGAAACCCAATTAGAAATGTGGGAGAACGTATAAACTCCACGGAGATAAGCACCCAAGCATCAAACCCAGATGCTTATTGCCATGAGGCACAAGTGTTACCAATGTGCCATTGTGCCAGAATCAAGATAGCAATTTTTTTTGGACAAAATTTCCAGATTTTTTTTGATAATTCACAGTGGAAGGAGAAATGGAGCAGCAGCACCTGTGGGCTTGACGCTGTAAAAGCCCACGGCTTCACCGTCTTGCCAAAGCAGCTTCGCGTGCTCGGTGGGGGAGTGGCAGAGGAAGGTCCACTCGGCAGCATCCATCTCCCGCGTGCGGTACACGAGGCGATTGAGCGTGTAGAGAACCAAGCGCTCACCCACACTCCGAACCTGCGCACACCGGCCACGGCCAGTAGTGTCCCGTTACAAACCATGCGTCCACAATACACAATAACGACCAGTGGGAAGCTCGTTGAGGTTAAATGGTAATCAAGTCAATGCGGTTCTCTGGAAGCTCCCCCGCTCCCCCACACAAACGCTCCCTAATAGCAGATGCCTATTCATTGTACGATTTTGAAATTGGTGACACACTGGACAATTTAAAAATGGTAGAGTGGACAAGCAGCACAAGGGCTAAATCACAAGGGCAATGTTAAATATTTTTTCATTATTTCAACCTGGTTGCATAGACTACATATGACTCATGATTAATCGAAATAGTTAGAGCGGTCTCGTAGTTTTCCAATCAAACGTATATACGGATTATTCACGTCTATAACAGCTGTTTCTTGTATGGTTTTTGCTACTCCTTTTTGCATTTGTTTTGTAACCCATGTCTCCCTTGAAAAAGAGACGTGTAGTCTCAATTGTTTCTGACAAAGTTGTAGGGATTCCTATCCATTAGAATTTTAGCACTGAATTCCTGCAGTACTGTTAAGTTTGCCAGTTTCTTAGTTGTGCTAGTTTTTAAACATTCAATTTAAAATAGAGAAGCACTGCAACCAAGTATAAGAATACCATTAATGATAAAATATAAAAAAATATTATTTATTGATGACAGAATGAAAAAATGGCTGTCTAATGAACTGTATTTTAGTAGGTACATATGCATTATTTTAATGCATTTTGAGGAATTACCATTAATCAAAACAAAACCATGCGTTCAGTGCAGGGCCAAAGGCAATATAAATCACGATACAATGATATGACATGAGAATAGGTTTTCCCCTTTTTTCTGGCAAAAAAACAGGTGTTAAGATGTTAAAACACCAAACTGAAACCTTTTTACAAGGAATCATGTCTGCATTAACCACAATACTTGTGGTCAGAATGCAAACAAAAACATACTCTGATAATATATGCATTGTCTTTGAAACTGATTGGTCCACACCAGAAACAGCTTTCTTTTGAGCCTAGTCTCAAACGGTGTTAGACCAGAGGACGGTGTTAGACCAGAGGACGTTCTCGTTTGAGAATATTTTGGTACTGGTAAAGGAGGTCCCATAATGATATGACACTTAAAAAAGACAAGCCACCAAAAAGCCAAATTAAAACTCGTAATTTCTCCACATGGCTTGAACAAAAGGCAGGTTAGTTCCTATTGAGAACCAACAATTGGCCAGAAAGATCTGAATAAAATGTGTGGCTGTAAAGTGAATAAAAACATGCAATTAAAAAACAATTAAAACCAAATGATCTTTGCTCTTATTCACTAGAGCCCTGCCCTGACCTGTATGATACCATTTCGGGTGGGGTCTGCTGTCTTCAGAATCTCTTCCACTGCCCACCAGTCATCGTCCAGGTAAAACGCCACAGCTGAGGTCACAGGAGACATGCCCACATATCAATGATGTTTCACGTAAGTATCTGCCAGCACCCACATTAGTTACTAATAGGTGTATTTCCTCCGGGTGACCACCATGCCCAACACGGATCAATTATTCTCCATCTAGTTTGCCACCCACTCCCATGACTAAAAGAGCATATGTGTACACTCTATGCACATTGATATAAAGTTACCACGGTGCATCTATCCTTCCAATGAGACAAATATCCACCCCCTATGATCTGACCGGAAAAGGAGAGAGAGATCATCTCCTCGCCACTTGCTGCGGACTCTGGGGAAGAGTGGGAGCTGCTAATCCTTCAAAAAACGATCTTTATGCAAGTGCTAAAACTTACATTTTTGTTTGGCTTTCAGAACCCGCAGGTATTGCTAACAGGACATTGCTGCCAAGAAGGTGGGTGTGGCGCCCCCACCTAAGAAGAGTACCAGCCTGACCAAAGACCATTATGACAGAGGCCATGACACTGAATCTGTAGTGGCACATTAACGGATGTGGCATCACCCAGGTCGCTACTCTAAGAACTTCCTGTAAGACGACTTTGCGAGCGCTGGCCCAGTATGTCGCCACTCCACCCTGACAATGGGTGGAGTGCACTGCCACCCTGCGTGAGATCCAAGATCAGCCATAACACGGGGCTCTTGAAAGATTTTTATCGAGCGGCCACGCGAGGCTCCCTCGCCCTTTCGGTTGGGGCCAAAGAGGACAACGTCTGGTCTGTTGGATGGAATTACTGTGATTTGATGTTTCAGTGGAGCGCATCTTCCCTGTGGCTTCAATTGATTGCCTCACGAGAGAAAGAACAACATAATAAAATGAATAAAAGAAAGAAAAAACTTGCACTAAGGTGCAGAAGTAGGTTTTGCCTCCTGCAGTAAAAAATACCATTACACATGTTGGAAACAATACCTCACAATACCATAAAGTTGGACAAAAACTACGTATCAGTGCATTGTCGTGAGTAGTGTTTTGTTACACAACTCACAAAAACTGATTTTTTTTATGTCCTGGGAAGACTTACAACTTTCTCCCAAAAACTACCTCCAAAAGAGGACCCTATGGAGTATAGAAGGTGAGGTTTGCTTAACCCGTGTCATCTCATAGGTATGGGAGGGGAGTGGGAAGCCAGCTGGAGAGGACCGACTCAGCATGGTCTCATGGTCAACTGGAAGAATACCTTACTCTAACTGATGTGGGCAATGCCAGACCGTACACAAATAGAGAAAACTGAAGCAATGAACACATTAGCCCATCATTAGCAACACACGGCTACCTGACGCACAAATGGAAAAGTAAAAACTCTCCAGTGTGCGACTGTGGTCATCCAGAACAGACCATACAACATATGACGCAATGCTCAATCCACAAATACAAAGGAGACATCACAGCAATACATTCCGCTGCTCCGGACGTGGTTACCTGGCTTGACCACCTGAATTGTGAAATTGTCGTCGTTGAATCTTAATTTTTGGAGCTTTCGTGACTGCAGAAATTATTCTTTGTTTTTTTCGGTAAAGTCACGTATAAAGATAAAAGAATAAATGAAATAATAGCATACGACGTTTCGATTGCAACAATAATTTAGCCTGAAAATGTGTGTTGCTAATGCTCCGTATCTATATCAGCCTTACGAAAGTAGAAGCAGCACACGTCACAAGTGCACACATTTGATAGCAATGGGGCTCTCACCTGTGAATGCATCTTCGGGAGAAAACAAAGCAAGAAGCTTGTGCTGGGAGCTTACACCATAGAGCAAAACAAAACCAACCGAAGTTGCTGTTATCGGGACCTGGAATAGAGAAACAAAATGTAAAACAACCATAACATATATGCAAAACAATTGTATTAATTTGTATTTGCCCACATCAGATGGTTGTGTTTTTATACATATAACATCTCTAAGTGTGGGTTGCAACATGAAATTTGTACCCGTGAAAGTGAGACAATGCGTGTGATTCTGTGAGGTGTGTTCTTTTGCTCAATTACGGCTGCATACTGCGAGGATATAATAGAGCATGCTCAAGATACTAGTCATCTTATCTAAGTAGAGATAAAATAACCATTATTAAATGTCATTGATTTTCAGGCTAAATTATTAACGTAACTTATGAGTAATTATAATAGCCGCTTAATGCTGGTTGTTTTTTTTTGTATTAAATTGGACTCCCTTATATTTTGTTACTCTTGTAATGACATGATGACACCTTCTGGCTGGCAAAGGGAAGCACGGGTACTGGCATCGCTAAGACAACATCCAATCTGAAAGAGAGCGGTATCTGGGGCAAAGGTAACAGGTGGGGTTGGCCGAGATGCTCCGGGAACCTGCTGGAAGGTTCCACGATAGGGCGTGGCCGGAGGCGGAGCCTAGCCGCGCCTGGGGAGATATAAGCGGGGGCTGAACAGGGCTCGGGGTTCGTGTGTGGATTCTTGGGTCCGGACTGCGTCACTGCTCGCCGTCATCTCTCTCCGTCGTCCGGCCACGTGGAACATCTCCTGCGGGGTTTCCATCGCCATCCTCGTCACGCCGCCAGCCAGCGGCATAGCCGAGTGAGGGCGGTGGGACCACGCCGAGTGATCGGCCGTGTGTGTAGCCAGGAGAAACGTTAATATCTAAAGTGTTGTACTCAGAGTGAGAAGGATAAGGTTGGCCTGTGTCGTGCCCGTGTAAGAAATAAAAGAAGAAGTACCGTCTACACGTGTCGTGGATGTCACTCATTACACTCTTGTTATAAAGCACCAATGGTGAATATGCAAATCTCCAATGCAATGAAATGTTTATGCTGTTAGATATATATTTTATTATTTACCACAGAGCACAGCATTTATTTCTTAATTTTGTTAGCTTGCATCTCCAGTGCCTAAAATAATGCATTGGAACTTTGGAGCAGGCCCTCAACAGGGCATTAAGTGATATGACCAAACACATTCTGCAGTTTGCAATAACAGCTCAATTCTGGGTCCAATGGTACTGCACTTGTTATTCAATAACATATTCAACATCTGTTTTGGAGAGCAGCGGGATGAGATCAGGCATGAGTGTTCAGGATTGCAAGTATACTAATATATAAACACCCAACCAGAGGTGCGCCCCTCCCAAACATGTACGCCCCCGGATTGGTTGAAGTGCCTCATGTGACCGCGAGTAAGAGACGGGCAAGTGAAAGTGAGGAGACGAGTGAGTGAGGCAGAGCCGTGCTCTGTCCACTGCTGGCCTGGGAGAGAGCCGCGCTATCTCCACTGCTGCCCTGAGGCAGAGACGTGCTCGGTCCGCTACTGCCCTGAGGGAGACGGGCAAGTGACAGTGAGGCAGAGCCGTGCTCCGTCCACTGGTGCCTTGTGGGACCCCCGTGCTCTCCACTGCTGGCCTGAGGGAGAGCCGCGTTGTCTCCACTGTTGCCCTGAGGGAGAGCCGCGCTCTCTCCACTGCTGCCCTGAGGCAGAGCCGCGCTCTCTCCACTGCTGCCCTGAGGGAGAGCCGCGCTCTCTCCACTGATGCCCTGAGGCAGAGCCACGCTCTTTCCGCTGCTGCCCTGAGGGAGAGCTGTCTTCCGTCCGCTGCTGCCCTGAGGGAGTGCCGCGCTCTCTCCACTGCTGGCCTGGGGGAGAGCCACGCTCTCTCCACTGCTGGCCTGATGCAGAGCCACGCTCTCTCCGCTGCTGGCCCGGGGGAGAGCCACGCTCTCTCCACTGCTGGCCTGGGGGAGAGCCACGCTCTCTCCACTGCTGGCCTGGGGGAGAGCCACGCTCTCTCCACTGCTGCCCTGAGGCAGAGCCACGCTCTTTCCGCTGCTGCCCTGAGGGAGAGCTGTCTTCCGTCCGCTGCTGCCCTGAGGGAGAGCCACGCTCTCTCCACTGCTGCCCTGAGGGAGAGCCACGCTCTCTCCGCTGCTGGCCTGGGGGAGAGCCATGCTCCGTCCACTGCTGCCCTGAGGGAGCCCCGTGCTCTCCACTGATGGCCGCCTGAGGCTCACGCTCCCGGGGTGCGCTCCGTCGCTTTAAGATGTTCTGTGTTAATATTTTGTTTGTTGCGGTTGCACGCGACTCAAGAGCCGCATGGCTCACAGGGCTATACCTAATCAATGAAACTTGAAACCTAAGACCCCTTAAGAGCTTCCAAATAATCCTAACAGTTATTTCACTGATTAATAAGTGATAGCTCTAAGAAGTTAATGTCAATATCACAACTAAAGTTTAGATATTTTCAATCATTCACATTAAAGTGACATTGCGGGATCGTCAAAAAAGGTATGTTGAGTGAAAGTTTTAAGTGAAAGCCGCGTAAAGCTGCTCTAATTCGACTTATTAAAAGTCCTCAAGTACAGCGAAGCTGTTCGCGTTGTTTTTTAGTTTTTTAATCGTAATTCACTATCAGCCGTACATCCGATCGTCTCTCAAGCCATTAAATTAAAAAGTAGTTGAAGGTGAGTTCTTTAAAAATTTAATCTGACAAACAATGCACACGGTTCTAATTACATTAGTACTGTAGTTTTTGGGGTGCTTAAATCCACTGCTGGATGAAGGCCCACCGCACGCTGTGCGAACAATATTCGTTCTATTTTGTCCATCTGCAGATGCTAGAAATAAAGAATACATACTTCGGTGCTTAGCTCACGTAATTTTTAACTCTTAGTTTTATGTAGTGCATATAACCACCAAGGTCTCCTAAAACTGCGTGCTGCTCAAAGGGGCAAAGTTGCATAACCACAAAATAAAAAAATATATAAATTAACCGTGTCTCTTGTAGTTTTTTTTTTTATCAAACAACAGTGTGAGGCTGGAGGAGTGTGGAACCTTGCGGCCATTGGGGAGCTTGAAGTATTCGGGGTTGTTTGGGTGGCAGTGGAGTAGGTTGTCCAGGTACGATCTGGCCGTTCTCTCCAGGACTTCGTGAGATGTGTCCACCAAGAAATCCACCGGGAACTGCATTTCTATAAAAAAAAAGCACCCAAATGATCCCACGATGCAGCTGTGCGTGCCTATGTTAAGCAGCCTTGTGCCTTTTCATGCTCTGTACATACAAGCATTCATTGAGTTGCGAGTGAAAAACATTTGATACACCTTGCTAAAAAGCATATTTATTAATTGCTGGTGCATGAAAAGCACATCTTTATGTGCCTAGGAAGGCATATAACATTTTAGTCTGCATTCCTTCAACTCAGCATGCAGTTGCTAAAACATTTTGGGCGAGCTACAAAACTGCGCCATACACATTAAGAATTGGTTACACAAGCAAGCACATGTGTGCATGATTTGCATGGCACCGTGATCCCATGAAATTACATTTGGTGCACATGTTCATTTACTTCGAGTTACGTGGAGCATCTAATTTACTAATGGTAGCTCAGTTGGTATGCCTTGTGAGGCAAAGTTAAATTTACATGACTTTTACAATCAGGACAACCACGAGGAGGGCATACCGCTTTTGTATACCCTTTTGTTGGGCCTATGGTCGCTATTGCGATTTAAAATTGCACTGCCACCTCGCTCAATGTTTTTTTCCTTTTCCTTTGCTTTCCTTTATGTTATAAAAAAAATGTCCTGCAGTGAAAGGGTGATGTCGGCTGACAGTTGGTATAAATGGAAGGTATTAATCAGGTGGTATGCTGGGACTGTGGACATGGCTGGAAATTGTGCTCTGTTGCATTGCAGTGACCTGGCCCAGGTTCCAGTAATCTGGCCCAGGTCACTGGCACTTGCCTGGGCACTGACACAAATGGTCGAGTTTTAAAAACAATTAAACTGAATGGGCCCTCACCTGACCTGAAATAAACTAGATTAATACATGAATGAATGGTTTATATTACATTAATGTTGCTAAGTTTTCCCATTTTTATATCCACTGAAAAGTTTGCTATTAATCATCCTCTATAATGAAATAAAGGGTGAATGAAGAGCTATTTTTCCAAATGACTGAATATCTGCACGCCTGATTGGTTTGTCAACTGTAATCAGGATTTAGCATAGTATGCAGGCTGGACAGTAGCTGCAGTCGGCACACAAATAAAACGCACAGAAGACCAGTTACAATGCTCAATACTCACGCAATATACTTTAAAATCTGAACCAAATTGATACCGTTTTTTTTCCAACCTTGCCATGGATATATTTTTTTACTTCAACGGAGACATAGGACATGAATTTATAACAGTGGGAAGTGGTAGACACAGGAGGTGGCATTGGCAGAAATTTCTTTACAGTACTCACAGACATTACATTTAAAGGTAAAATACCATACATGCCACACAGTACAACACACATGTACCGCATATTCCGATTTCCATATTTAAATTAAAACATATTATTAACAGAGCAGACCACAACTGCAATCTTGATAGCTTCAAGTTAATATGATCAGGCAACTTAACAAAACAATATTTAAAACACGATAAAATTACACTTATACATGGTTTTTGTGCGCACAACCATTATAATGATCACCTTAATGGAAATCTATATCTTTTTGCAATCAACTAGTTTCGAAAAGTTTTTACCACTCCAATGAATGAGCAATCAGGTTGGTGTGTGCCATCCACCCAATACATGGACAGCTTATGACCATAAACCGTTCCACCTATCATGGGTACAAGGATATCCCCTGCACACTCATGGCGGCTGCTGTGTGTGAATAAGAGAGCTCCAACTCTCTCTCTCTCTACTCGGCCTAGCGTTCATAATCCATAATGCACCACCCTGGGCAATTTGGAAGCGAATACTGAACAGACGACTGCCATGCCAGAGCACATCTACATCACCTCACTGAGCCACAGCTTACATAACTGGAGATAGGATTTGCATATATCAGTAAACAACCTAAAATGCTACTGACCGAAAGCATGCGAATTATAACATGTACGTCACAACCACAAGTTTATCGTAATTTATATACTATGCAATTAATATATGCAGACAAAAAATTCAAAAGCTTAAGGTAGTCACAGTATGTGTGGACTGAAATTTACATACGCAACAGACTTGCCTTGCGGCAATTTTGGCAACTGTTGCGCATCAAATGCATTCCATGTGATATTTCAACTAATCTCTGCTGTTCTGCTTACTTTGTATTTAAGTCGCTCATTGTGAAGTTCAATTGTATTTCTTGGTTTCGAGGCCAACCGGCCATATGAACAAGCTGTATTTAAAAAAAGGTTTTTTTCTACCATGGATAGCATATGCAGTATACCGTAGTACAGTAGAAAAATATACAGTCGATATAAATACCAAATAGTATTATGCCTAGATTTTGTAGACAAAAAAGGCAATTGATTTGTCAATTTCTGTACTATTTCAAGGGCTTAGTATAATCAAAACCATTTATAAAAAATAACATCTACACTAAGTTTACATGCTTTAATAGTGATTATGACAACCAATGGCAATTAATTACTGGGCATAATTGAGTAACTGTACTTAACAAAGGCAACACAAAGTGGGGCTAGAGATATACGAGCCGAACAAAAGTCACGCACAAGTTGAGTCAAGAAAATATTTGTTGGAAGGACAGGCAGGATTGGAAACCAGCAGGATATTTACATTTACCTGTGGATCAAGATCATAATGATGAAGAGGCAAACTAGTGGGATAGATTGTTTTTAGAAAGTGATCATGAAAAGCAAACACCAATCAAGATCAAATAAAAAAAACATTTTCACACAGCGCACAACGAAAATGTGGCTCACAAAATGAATAAACCATTAAAAGTGCGCAAGGACGGAAAGATAACGCACACGGATGGGATCAGGGCACAAACACAATTTCGTGATCTCATGCTTGGGTAAATAAGTGGGGCTACAATGGTCCATGAGGATGGATAAAACCACCGCGACTGCGATGGAGTGATGATGAGATCTGATATTTAAATCCTTTATATTAAGTTCGCTTGCTTGCTTGCGTGCTTGCTTGCTTACGACCGTGCAAATCTTTCACTCGTTTTTAACCCACTTCCCGCGATCCAATAGAGCTGACATTTTCCACACAGACTCGTTGTGCGAGACAATTAATTTTCGTGAATTTTTTTTCTCCAAAATTTTACACTGTTTAGGGAATTTTTAAAAATATTTAATTACCAATTGCTTAATGCTGGCAGACAATCATCTGACCCATAGGTGGCAGCCACCTCAAGCCAGAGGACGAGAGGACTCTAGCCGCCACGCATATAAAGGATTTAGAGTGAAAAACTTTGTTTTTACGGGTTAATTTTTTCTCCATCCTTGACGCCGATGGGGGAATAGGTTCAGCAAGCCGAATGCCAACCACCAATGTCAGATTTCTATTCCTCCTCCTCCGTTCACGGTTTTCGACTAATAAAAGTGGCTTTACTCTCAAAGGACAGGTCCATAAGATGTGCCCCATGTGCAGGAGCGAGATGGATTGTGGCGAGGAGGGTGGCATGGCAATGTGGGTGTGTAGGCCTTCAGCCTGGTGGTATTCTCACGTACACTGCGTATGCTTTACGCATTAAAATTAACTATAATATCGAGAAGGATAAAGCCCGAATACCACAGTACAGTAGTGAAGTGTCCATCAAGTACACTACATTGAACACATGGAACTTAATTAAAAACCTAACACTTAATACAACTTAAACGTTTGGTAATCCAGAGTCGCCGTTACCGAAACAAAAACTACTTCATGATTTTGTAACTACTTAGTAGTTAAATGTACAAATTGGTTGAAGATATAACCTCAACGGCCAGTTTACATTCGTTCATTTCCATAACGTAGCAAATCGTTAGAGTAACTTATCTTGAAACATTGTCTATTAACACCATTAATAAAAAAAAACCTGAATTCCACTTTAATTTAAAACCATAAACCTCCTCCCCATCAATGTAAACATACACGTATTGAAATTCAACTTAAACATCGCATTTATTATTCTAATTTCGTACATACATTGCAAGAAAAATATTTAACAAGTAGCACATGTACGTCCACTTCAATTCGGCTTTCTTTAAAACCCATAAACTCGACAAAAACGCAACACCGTATTACAATCACGTAGCCAATGCAACAACACTAGCAGCAAGAGGGCCACAGAGACACAATACGGGGAGAAGAAATACCGCAATTAAAAAATAAAATGCACACAAATATATACATTTTTAAATGTCTCACCACACACACCGGGTAACGTCCACGCTTCCTCCCCTGTGCCCTTTCACTGACTCGTTAATTTGTATTAAAAAAATTGCCAATGACTCTCACAGCGATCACCTTCACACAGCAGCCACCGGGGCCGATGGTCTCTCGTCTCTGCCGGGCTTGCGGTGGGTGGCCCCCAACGTGGGCATCGACTTACGTGCGTGCGTGATGACGTGTTTGCGTGATGACGTACGTGCGTGATGACGTACACGATCCTAAATCGGCATGCGTCGTGGCGTCACCGGCTCCGATTTGGCGGACGTGCGTGCGCGATGAGGTCATAGGTTTAACCCCCTCCCCCCCCGCGCGCGCGCGCGATGATGTCACCGGCGTGTAATTTGCGTACGGGTTTACGTGATGACGACATACACTCGCTTAGACCGGGTCGCGTGCGTGCGCGATGGCGTCACTGATCTTCGCTAAACCCCGACGTCCATGCCCCGCAACGCGTGCGTGATGACATCACCAATCCGGCGGCAATACGATCCTTGGGGGAGAGGTGGGGGGCGGGGCTTGTGCGTGGTGACGACATTCTCAGCCGAAACGCGTGACGCACCTGCTCACGCTCGCCCCACTCTCCGCATGACGTCATGTTGTTGAAGCGCGGGTTGTTACGTCACGGGGCGCGATGATGACGTAGGACGCGCATCGGACGAGGCGCCGGGTCGGGATCGCGAGCGAGAGATTCGCCTCCCGCGCAGACGCACAGAGGCGGTAGAGACAGAGACACACGCACACAGAGACAGAGTCCCTCACACATTCGGTTTACATGCCTCATCCTCCTTCTCGTCGTCGTCGTTGTTGTTGTAAACAACTTGTTCAGTAACGCGCACTGACAGTAGCGACACGCCGGGTGTTGTTGTGGGTCGGCGTGTCCCCCACATTGAGGCTTCAGCCCCAGGAAGAGGTGGCTACAGACAGAGGAGTCGTACACGAGGTACAGACAGGAGCTGAGCTCCGTTCCGTGTCCCCCCGCACACGAAGGATCTCACTTCTTGTCCCATCGGTGCTGGCTGGCTTCACCACCATGGCTCCACGTCCGAACAGGAGTCGCACCGTCGTTGTAACAGGTTGGTGGTGGTGTCGCTTGCGTCCCTGTTGCTGATATTGCATTCTGCTTGTGTTCTTGCTGCTACGATATTCTTGCGTATAATGGCAAGACGTTCAGGAGATAAATACGCTTGCAACGACGAAGACGGCTTCGTGGAGAGAGGAGGAGGAGGGGAGTTTGTGTGATTTTGCTGTTTCTCCATTGAAGGATTGCTATGTGGCGCCATCAGAGTTGAATGACCACAATCGCGCTGTGGTTTGTCATTCATTTTCCATTCGTGAAGGAGATCCGCGCATCGGCCTGTCGATGTCCTGATGCCACTGATGGTACTGATGGTTCAAGTTAATTTATTAGGTATAGCCCTGTGAGCCATTCGCCTCTTGAATCGGGTGCAACCGCAACAAACAAAAAACATGAACAAAAAACATCTTAAAGTTAATATGTGACTAAGTGCAAACAGAAAATCCAAGAAAAGACAGCAAAATATTGCAGAAAAAACAGTCCCCCAGTCGGTGCCACTGTCCGGCAGCGTGCGCTGGACATCCTGGGATGGTGGAAGAGTGATCCCAGAAGGGGAATTGGAACTTGAGTCAAAATTGTTGAGGTCTTGGTTTATGGGTTCTAAGAACACGTGTCTCTGTGGATGTTTGGTGGCAGAATGTTTGCCAGAACAACACATAGATTTGAAGCTTTCGTGACTGCAAGGATTCATACTCTTGGGTTTTTTCGGTAAAGTCATGTAGGTAAAAAATAACAATAATAAAATGAAATAATAATAAATGAAAATAACTAAATTAAATCACGACGTTTCGGAAGCAACACAAGCCTCCGTCATCAGGTGTAACTGCTCCAGTAAAATTACAGTAATTTTACTAAAATTAAAATTGTACTAAAATTGCAATTTTACTAAAATTACTGTAATTTTACTGGAGCAGTTACACCTGATGACAGAGGCTTGTGTTGCTTCCGAAACATCGTGATTTAATTAAGTTATTTTCATTTATTATTATTTTATTTTATGATTATTATTATTTTTACCTACGTGACTTTACCGGAAAAAAACCTAAGAGCATAGAACAACACATCTTGGTTTTTTTTTATGTGGGGCTTGTCATAACAACCCCTATATATTTGAAGTGGGGTCAGTGCGCACAGGGTTCTACCACAGAAGGACACCACCCAGGGTGGAATTTCCTGCATGATTGTTCAGGTGGAGAACGCTTGTGGTGGTTTTGGAAGAATTTGGTCGATCTTCAGTGACGGAAATATGCCTCCCATAAAGTTTGATCAGCTGTCGGAGTATCTGCAGTGTTCTCGAGGTTTGTGCCCAGTGCATTAAGGACTGTCATTTGTATATACTGTATGAACTTGCAAGATTGTCGGGTCACTTAAATAGTTACGGTGCTCGAGAGAGGCTATTGTTGATATATCTGTTGTGGTTGTGTTTACCAGCAAGGTGTACCCTAAACGTGCAGTTGCTGAGCATCATGTCAATTAGGTGTGCCGTAGAACGCCAGCAGGCCATGACGCCAAACAGTGTCATAGGCAGCAGAGAGGTCAATCATTGCTGTGCCAGTTGTCTGTTGACGCTGCAAACCGGCTTCTCGGAGGGTGGTGAAGGCAATTCTTTGTTCGCAGCAGATATGGCCAGTTTGAAAGCCAAATCGTTTGGGAAGCAATGGGGGAAAGGATGGAATGCATGGCACGTTCCATCAGCTTGGAGGGATTGTGCCTGCCCTGTGTGTGGCGATTAATAGGATTGCAAGCCATTGTTGTCCATATAGTCCAGTGTTCTTTAGGAACCCACGACACAGGCCATCATATCCCGGTGTCTTGTACTTCGTGGCCCTGAGGGCCACTTAAGCGACAGTGTATGGTCTTGTTAGTGAAATTAAGGTAATGGTGAGTTGTTTCCAGACAGCTTGTTTGGTGAGTTTGTCCATATATATATTTGAGCAGGACAGCATGTAGGAGGCCACATCATTTGCTGTGGTTTTTAATTTCTGTGCTCTGTTGGTTTTCAGACAACTAGGTTCCAGAGGAGCTGCCAGGCTTTATGGCTGGAGTGAGTTAAATCCAAGTCTGCAGTGACGTCTTCCAAATGTTTTGTTTGTGAAGAGTTGAGGGACCCAGCATTGCGATGCCCTTATGGTCACCAGTTCTGATGATCTCTTTTAAGAGTCCTGTTTTTGGTTTCCAACATGGGATATAGCTTTCCTGATACCCTGTCGGGATGTAGTTTTATGTAGCAGTTGGCCTCCCAAAAGTTCCAACGCGCCTGTGGTTTTGAGGCTGATTCAATGTTTTAGAATTGGATAATCCATTTTTTACTTGGACCCCAAACTCCCACACCAGCACACTTTTCAAAAATATTTACAAGCAACAACCGCACTCAAAAAGTTACATTTGGACGAAAACACAAAGAAAACAGGTAAGTTGTAACCAGGCAATTGCAATCCAGAAACTTCAGTCGGTAGAGTATAACATGCACCACAGTCATGAGTGTCCGAGGGTGAATAACGATAACGCAGGCAAGTTTAGCATTTTCACTCAATAAAAAAAATGGAAAAATCACAGTTCCAAGTGCTAAATTCCCAGCAACAAGGACTCAGCTCCAGCTGATCAAACCCTGCATTGGCACAGACATTTTCTTTAAGGGGAGCAAAAAACCCAGCACCGGCAGCGCAACGACCAACGAGGAGTGACCGAAATGTATTCTTGGAACTTCGAGTTCCAGATCAAGATGACCACATCCTAGCCCTGACTCTGTTCCAATCTCACCCTAAACCAGTTCTCACATCTCAAGGGAAAAATACATGGATGAGGTATCCCTTGAGAAAAATTGCTGGAGGAAAATATATCTTTGTCATTGATTAGGCACTGGCGAAACATCATACTCAGATAGTAAATGTTGTGGATTGCTCTCCAACACACCCGTGTGCTGTACTAGTAACAAATTGGCATGTTCTGTTTATGTGACAAACCTTAATAAATGGTTGTGTCGGGTGGTGGTAGGTTTAACGACACATTTATATTAGCGTGATCTAACCCAAAAATCCTGTATTATGGATGATTAGTCACAGTTAATCTAACAGTCACCACTCAGTACTAAATCCAGTAAAACCATAACCCACTCCTGTGATATCCTATAGCACCAAGATAACTAGTAACATGAAAGATATTTAGACTTTCAGCTACTTCCCTAATACGTTACAACATGGTAACCCTGTGCCAGGTTACTGTTTGGAAACTTCACACACACATTAATGTTTGATATTAGACATAATTTAAATTCAGCACATTTTTTATTGAACATGTGTATTACCTGTTGATTTAATGTGCCTCGATTATCAAACATTTTCAATAGTTGAAAATAATGTATCAGGTATGTTATTATATGCAACAGATGTAATGTTTTATTCTTGAAAGTTATTTACTGTTTTAGATAATGAAATACGTTAAAGATGTCATTTAATGTCAATAATTTAGGACATTTTAAATGATTGTTCAATATTTTGTCGTTTATCGAACATTATAAATAATTGAACATGGCAACAAATATCGTGCCATAGACTAGCCTGCTGCAACTATGTTGTTTCTATAATTATGGGTTTTTCTGTCATTTAGAGATTCAGTATTGCTTGTTTATAGCATAGCAGCAGTTCATAAGTTACCCACATAATGGAATGCTTCACCATCCACATAATGATTAACTTTACACGTATACACTTAAACTCGTGTTTTTGAGCTCATGTGAGCCATATACAACGAAAAATTGCATTCTAGTTGCATAGCACTTCTAGCACTTGGGAGTCGTGAATTAAATATGGCGTTACATGGGCCACAGTTCTAATTGCTTTAATATTATTGGGGATAACTGCCATTGCAAACATTACACGTGTTAATACAATGGTCAAAAATTACTGTATATAGTACCATGAATGAAAACTCTGTCTTCATTAAGTCCACATGATTTCTGATGATTCCAGACGAGTGGGACATATCCCAGTGCGGCAGTTGCAAACTTTGGCGAATTTCCTAAATACTCGCACATCTGTCCACCCAGCAGTATAAATGGGTACACCACAATTAGTCGATCGAAGGGCAGCTTGTGGTGGGGGTAAAGTGGAGGTATTCTTACCTTTTCTAAGATATCTGACCAGTGTGGAAGAGTAGTGGTGTGAGCAAGAAAGTACAGGGCTGCACCTTTACCTAGAACATCTAGAACCAGCCACAGTTGCAGTTTAATATTTAGCAAGGCTCTGGTCGACAGGAGTATCCATCAAACTTTATTGAAGGAGTATCACCTGTTTGTGTTTGGGTGGCAGGAATTCATTTGTACCAAGATCTGGTGGTATTATGAACTTTATTACTGTAAAGTGCAGTTTTTATAGACCAAGGCTGACTGATATGTCCAGTTGGGTCTGTGGGAAAGGTGGCGACTGTAATAATCAAGTTGTTTAGTATTGTCAAATAACCTCCATGACTGACAGAGTGTAGGGAGGATCTACTGGACATCTGTGATAAAGAGCTTCATGACTCATCGGATTCTTCCAGTCTAAATACAGATTTTGACTTCAGCAAATGGATTGACTCAGGGCTGTAAATTATTATTTTAACCCGGTGTGAGTCCATTGGGTTGAGGTGGCTTCAAAAACCTGAAACCCAACATTTCCATCACGCAGGTATGACAAACTGTAAAATGTGTAATAAAGAACAGGAACATTTTTGCTGATGTCATAAGGAGCTCTCCTTCAGGTTTTTTTACTTTTGCGTAAAACTATACAGTAAATTTTCACTCATTCACTTGATAAAATTCCGCACAGTTGTACATTGGTCACGTAATAGTTGGATTAAACTCTAGAACACGTGCTCTCGAGAGAGGTGCAAGTGTGTTTTTTCAATTTAAACGGTAGGCAATCCATTGCGCTTTTACTGGGGATCTGACACTTAGAGCATGGAACATGTTAAGCAGACACTAACGGAGTGAGGGAGTGCAGTGGTGGAGTCCGTGCTCAAGTCCATGTGTTCATGCTTGTGTTACAGGGTTCGGTCCATTTCGAGAGCACAATGTAAATGCGAGTTGGGTGGCTGTGCAGGTATGTTTTTTAACTGCTCTTTCATATGTATGTATGTTGAACTTATTTCGCACCGTACATAGCCAGCCGTGCTAATCTAAGGAGTGGGGAAGGACAACAAACTAAACACACAAAAAAACGATATATATCACTATTGCGGGATTGTGAGACAGATGGTGCAGTGTGCTACGAACCCAGTCTCCTGAGTTTCGTTCCCGGCCATGGCTAACATCGCTGGTGAACGATATCTGAACAGCCCAGGACCAACGCGCCACCCGTTTACTAACCCGCTCTGACCAGCATAGTCAATGGTCAAACAACCCCCTTGAACGACACTGTGTGTGGAGGCTTCATCCGGCAGTGGATAGACAAATGCCCGTACATTCTATTTTTTATTCGTTATTTCAGAGTTATGTTATCAAGTACTATTTGACAAAAAAAAGCTTGTCAACCAGACCATCGTCACCTGTGTTTGCATCTGAACCACACTTACCAGTAAAATGAAACATTTACATTAAATTATTTTCACAAGTTACGACAAGCAAAATACGTTCTCTGGTGAAAACGACATGGACCACTGCAAGATAAAGATAAGGCATAGGTCACTTACATGTGGTACAGGCACCATAGTCCACATATCTATGCAATGCAGAAACTGAAAAGCAAAGTCTTCATCTGTGCTCCCCATGTTATGGTTACACAGGAGTTGGAGAAGCTGGGTCTGGGTGAGGACGTTGACCTGAAAGTGTTTGAGATCCCTGTGGAGTACCAGAAGGTGCAAGAGCTTGTGCCATCTATATGGAAGCTGCACAACCCCCAGGTATGTGTTTCTACACTCTCTTACAGTTCACTTTCACAATGCAAAACAATGCCAACTCAACTACCTGCCCACCAGGGATGTCATTTGTCTCCGAAGGACATTGGCAAATGAATTTGCAATTATAACTGAAAGCACGATGTTTGATTTCGAATAGTGTGTCTTCGCTATGGCATTAGAGGCATTATAATTGTTTTGCCAACCGTTGGACAGTGGGAGTTCTCTCTGCCCATGTTAGTGATCTGAGCTGTCTGCTCTTGCAGTTGACTTTATCAGTCTTCTAACAAAGTTAATCTTACTCTCGAACATTTTCCGGCTGTTTTTCTATTCCAGGGAGATGTGATTCATAGCAGTTGAATTCTTCCTTTTGGGGAAACTGTTCTGATGGCTGAATTGGTGACTGAGGCAGTTCTGCCAAAATGGCATTCTTAAAAGTTAGTACTTAATAAAAAGTTGCCATTGAACCACTGCCTCTTTAGATGCCTAATTACTGTAATTTCATAGCACATTTGAGTGCCTCGTATGCTGTAAATGCAGATAACCCAATTAATCATTCAGCAAAATAAGTATTTTTTTCCCAGCTGGCCAGTGTATATTCATTGCATGTTTGAAAGATTCCGTGTCACAGTTGACAGGCAAAGTCAGTAAATGCTTTAAACATTTTAACTGATTAAGAAAATCTGTACCTAGGATAGAGGTTTTTACACACATGTGTTTATTTCACTCGTGTCATGTTGTTTGTACCATATTCGCTTTCATCCACGAAAGACCACATCTTGGGCAATGCTAAACTTCTATTAAAGCTGTGAAAGTTGTTCACTCTGTAAATGCTACTTTTGCTTGTGGTTTGTCCAAACTCTGCTGCTACCCTACTTCCTTCCTCCAAAACACAACTCAACACCGACCACCTCCGCAGTTGATGGTTCACGTGGGGGTGTCGGGGGTGGCGCAAGCCGTCACGCTAGAGCAGTGTGGGAAGAACGTGGGCTATGTGGTGCTGGACAATGCACGCTGCTGTCCGGGCAGCCACTGCTGCGTGGAGGGAGGGCCAGAATGCCTCCATTCCAGGGTGAACATGGAGGCCGTGCGGGACAAGGTGCGCGCTCAGGGGCTCGAGCTGCAGCTTGCCGTGTCGGATGACGCAGGCAGGTAAGACACGGCCCGTTTGGTGGACAAGGGTCGCAAAGGGTTTGTGTTCATCAGTAGGTGATGGGTGTGCAGACATCGCCTTATCAAATGTGGAATAGATTTGCGATGTTGCAATACTTTATCCTCCATTTTATAAGATGCTCTGTAATGTAAGAAGCACCTTAATACTTTGTCTGCCATAAACAAAGTTATACAAATATGGTTACACACGGTGCTTTACAATACAAGGGAAAAAAAAGTGTCTATAATCCAGAGAATACAGTTGGAGTAATAATACCTTTCATCCAGGAAAACCTCACTAGGTTTTGAGACTTATTTAGACGGGTTCTGCATTGAGATGTTGGGCAAATTCCATTTATATGTGCTTGCCATGTGGTAAGAGATGGGAGTATCTGGAGAAAACCGAAACACATGAGAGGGTAGCACTAAAACGTCCACAAAATAAATTCAATAATATATTGATATATTTACATATTCTGGCTACCTCGGAGCCAGAGCTTACATTGCCCATACAATTACTAACCAAGGTCGAACCCCTGCTTATCTTCTGAGATCCAATTACATTGGGCAATTTTATCCCAAGTCAACTTTTGAGACTTGGGTTCAGATGCCATTGCTTTGATTAGCTGGTCTGTTTAAAAGCAATATGTGCAACGTCCTTGACAACACAGCATAGCTATACTTTTTTTTCTATCCTGTTAAAATATATTTGTGGGATCAGTATACATTGCTATAGAAAATGGCAGATTGTTGCTTTGTTGTCTACTTTGTGCGAGTTTTGATGCAAGGTCAGTAATTCACATTTATAATCCATAATAAAGTTTTTTACCTACGTGTTAAAACTCACGTTTACAATGTTGTGTTCATTATGAAATAATGCGTCATTTAATGTTTCGCATAATTATGAGTGTCCATAATCAGTTGTGATTAGGCCAGGTCCTGTGCCACAGCTGTTATAAGGGTGATGTCACAATTTTTAATTCCTAGAAATGCATAAGTGGCTCTCAGAATGTGTGCAGCGCACACAGATAAAATAAAGTCAGTAATTTTTTGCTCAACTGAGCATTCAAAAAAGCCTCCAAATCTTCATCAGTTATTTCCCTCTGTTGTGGGTTTCATTCCCTTGTTTCCAGCATGCAGGCGCAGCAACTAAAAATATCCTGTATCATTCCATATCTAGGGCAGCTCGGTGGCTTAGTTATTTGCACACTCCCCATTGAGCCAGTTTGCACGACGTTGAGAGTTCAATCATTGGTGCTGTCAAGAAAATTAGGTATAGAATTATCAACGCGCGATCGCTGCTGAAAAGTGTATGTTGATTCTTTTTTTTATTTAGTTTTTATGCAGAGGTCAATGTATGCCCTGGTCCTTGCCCAAATGGATTATTTGCAAGAAAATAAATATGCATTGACTCGACAACGTTCAATCTTTCTGGAGAATAATTGTATTTATAATGGATCTAAATGTGTCCCAAGATGCTGTACAAAAACAGGGGCAACATGCAGAATATATAACATCCATGTGCTCCCACTAGTTCTGCAGGCTGATGCATACATCTGCAATGAGGCAGTGTGGAAGACATTACCTGTGTGCACCTGCTTGTTTTGCTTGCAGGTACCTGTGCGACTACACCTACTACTATTCGCTGTACCTGAGCCATGGCAAGGCGACGTTTGTGCATGTACCCCCACTGGACAAGCCATATAGTGCTGAATTGCTGGGCCACGCTCTTAAGCTCATCGTGCAGGCCATGCTGGAGCAGTTGGATAATGTGCAGGAAAGCTGCCTTTAGCACAAGCACCACATTCCCATTTAATCACCCGCTTCTGAAAGCCTGCGTGTAAGAATCATGCCCATGCAACTTTGCTCTGTACACTCTGCCACCTTCGATCTGCAAAAGCAGGTTGAGCAATTGTGGCACCTATTCTTGTTTGCAAATACATGTTATATAACTGATTTGGTCGATGCAATTATTTTTCAGCAGCAGTAAATGGAACCAGGCCATTTAGTGCGCAGCAGGGCAATAATTTGATGCACCCTTATCTGTACTGACATGTCATTTGCATTGATTTTCTGTCAGCCTCATTAGAAAGTGTTTCTTATGTTCCTAAACAGACTTTGTTGATTTGTTTAGAATGATCAACCTAATACATTACTACGGAGCTGGTGCAAAACTGCAACTGAACTATCTTAATGTTTAAATCAAAGGTCTGCTTATCGATGAGCCATTAAACAATACCACAGCCTATAACTCCTTTGCAACCTACATCACAATGGGGCATTTAGCAAGCTACAGTTGTCAATATTTTTGCAACAATGGCTTATTTGATTAATAGTAACCTTTGGCTTAAAACTTTCGTGACTGCATGAATTCATATTCTTGGTTATTTCGGTAAAGTCCCATAGAAAATAAAATGAAATTAAAAATAATAAATTTAAAATAAAAGCAAAAACCCACGACGTTTAGATCGCAACACACGCGGTCTTCATCAGGTGGAGAGAAAAGAGGGGGCAAGCCTCCAAATGCAACTGCTTATAGGGTTCCCAAAGTGAGTGAGCGGGGGACGAAAGTTGGGAGGGCTGACTTGATTTGTGTTTTCTTGTCAACCTCTACCGTCAGCAGTCTGGATGTGTGTCGCCAGGTGCAATGCCTCCCCCCCCCATCTCTACCACCCCCTCTCCCCACTGGCTCTGCCAGTTGGGGGGTGGCACGTGCCCCCCCAATGATCCGATCGAAATCCCTAATTTCGAAGAACCAAAGAGTATGGATTCCTGCAGTCACGAAAGCTTCAAATCAAGATTGTCTACTCCTACATTACCACTGGCTGACTTACACCGCGCAGCTCTCGTCCCCCGCCCACTCACTTTGGAAACCCTTATAAGCAGTTGCATTTGGAGGCTTGCCCCCTCTTTTCTCTCTGCTTGATGAAGACCGCTTGTGTTGCGATCGAAACGTCGTGGGGTTTTCGCTTTATTTTCTATCTACGTGACCTTACCGAAAGAACCAAGAATATAATAGTAACCTGTTTTCACTGTAAACTTTGAAATTATATTTCGATTTAAAGCTTTCGTGACTGCAGGGATTCATATTATTGGTTCTTTCGGGAAAGTCACGTAGAAGGGAAATAATAATTGCTTTATGTTTATTATTTTATTATTTCCCTTCTACGTGACTTTACCGAAAGAACCAAGAATTTGAAATTATAATTATTTATCATTATTTCAACAGCATTCCCTGCCTCAATTTTAATTGAAAGGAAAATATAGGCTTTAGGTAACTTATTTTCAGATGGCACAGTAATTGTATTGTTTCAATAAACTTACATTAAACATGTGATTACTAGAAAAATCATTTTGGAAACTGAATACTTTTGCAAACTCAATGCCACAATGAAAATGTGTATGGTTAAAACTAAATGTTTTGATCTGTACAGAAAGGTTTGTATCTTTTTGTACAGAGTATAGTAAATTTACAATAGACATCAAAATGCAATATTTCAATGGATAGTTATATAACACTATACTTTTAAATTGTGAATTAAATAGCCAAATGGTATGAAAATTAAGATATTTTTCTCCAAGGCCAAAGAGTAACCTACATGTATTTAATTGTGCACACAATTGAATTATGCATTTGTTTACATATCTTCATGGCCATAGTAAAATACATCTGCTTGCACATGCATACAAATGATACCACATGCTACATCTGAGCACCTGCATGATTGAAATTGCTTCTTGAGCAGTTGAGGGATGTAAATGAGAATTAGCTGTTCCATTGGACTCCTTGCAGTGTAAACAGGTTGATTTCTTGGGTGTCCAAATACAAAACAGCTGATTAAAAAATAGACGAAACACCTCAAAAACATTATCTAGAAAAACTTAGATTTTGCAAGTATTGTAATTACATTTTGTCACTGAAGCACAATCGTTCACCTTAAAATGAATATTGGCAACAAATTGTTAGCATTTCATATTGAGCAATGACAATTTATTAAAAATGTACACTTGAGACATAAAAGATAATTGATTAGTCCAAATCCCAACATAAATGGACTGCATGCTTAAAGCCTAAATCATACTTATATTTTACAAACCGATGTCGAGATTAAAATGCAGAATTAATTTTTTTACCGCGAACAAGGATTCAAAAGCTGCAGTTCGAGAAAAGCATTTTTTACCAGGACTTTAATTGATATTCAACAAGTGGTGATTATAGATATTGTTGTTAGTTTTCTGTTGTAACATTTGATTCTAAAATTCTTAAGCACCATTTTACATGCTTGCACTTGGCAACTACTTCTAAAAGAAAGCATGTGGCCATGCAGACAGGTCTAATGCAGTCTCATAGGAAACTCATTTGTTTGGATATTATTCATATTTTAAAGTTGCATAGTAACGTATAAACATTGGATAGGTGCTCCAACTTACAATAAATAATTGATAGGTGGTATATTGATGGAGGCTCCGAAAGACACTGCATTATATTGAGTCTTTGTAAATGTTATAATTTATAGACAACATTCATAATGTAAAAATCATAAATATACACATTTTTCATCGTCTTTTCTTGCTGTACAGTTTTAACTGGACTTGGTCTTGTGGATACAAACACATTACTTCAATCGTAAACATTTCCCTTGGTTCCTCCAAGTGGTTTTTGTCTGCTGACAACAGCAGTGAATAGCGGTCGCCCTTTGATGCTCTCTGCAGAAGAGATTTTCTGTTTATTTGCCATTGATGGAGCCCTGTGGTTGAGGGTTTAAACAAAAGGAATATCTACATTTAATATTTGCAGTGTAAAAGTTGTGAATTATCTAATACGGCAGTTATATTGCCAATATTAGAATGTCACTGAAGTGCAGATTTGTGAATGTGTCCGTTATTATTGCATGTCACAAGCCTATTGCCATTCGTTTTACTTCATTGGCTTCAGAGTTAATCAAATGTTATATCTTAAAAGTGAATGAATAACAAAAACACTGTAAATACATGTCAAGTTCCAGGCTACTTAATTATAATTCAATGTGACATGCCTGCAAAAGTACAAAGGTGATTATCGTACTTGGAGAGCATGTCCAAGGTTTTCTGTGTAGACTTGGTTTTCTTGTGCTGAGCGCCGTACAGGATTGTTTGAACATCCAGACACTGATAAAAGCGAAACAAAGTATTATATGCCTAAAAAAATACGGTCTTGTTCAACTTCATGTCAATACTACATAAAATGGTGTTATAGTTATGATACTTTTTAAGGGATATTGCACCTAGTCTTCTTTCACTTGAATTGCATACTTTCCCAAATCATGGTCAAAATATATTGTCCCTACATAAGATGCTAAAACGCAGTAACAATTTACAACCTTTTGTCAATCCACTGCCTCCCCATGCCATGTAATCATCGTGGTTGTTAACCATAGTTCATGCTCCATAATAGTTAATGCTGGTAAATGAAGATTGAAGGTTGATGGCCAGGACCAGATTAGATATATTAAGTTTTACTGATATAAGCAAAGGTTGGGTATCAAACTCAAATGGGCAAATTCGTAGTACAGGGCATAAACCACTGCGCCACTACCGCACTACCAAATGTGTTTTTTATGAACATTACTTGCAAGGGAATGCTTTATGTGAATACTTAAGACCAACCCACTGCGAAATTTTGAGGAATCTGCACGTTATGCAATAGAAAGTAACATTCTGTGAAACTACAAAATCATATTTTTGATAACGTGATGATTACTATATTTCCCAATATTTCCCCTGCAAAGCTACCTTGTTGAGGTGTTTGTAAGCTTTTTCCAATTGGCCCTCGGCCATTCGGATTCCTCCCATGAGGTGGTGAGTCTCCGCCAGTTCCTTGCTGAACTCCCCAAACACAGACGCCTTGACATTCAGGGAGATTTGGAGCCTGACAATTGCTTCCTGTAGCAAATAGACAATTCCACCAGCAAAATAATGTGCTGCATCTTTTACATTTGACACGAGAAGACTATGGACCAGTGAGAGTTTACTTTTATCAAGCACTTTGGGATGTCATTAGTTTGCTTCATTGTGTACAGAAACCATGCGTGTCTTATTGCAATTTGTTGAGCGCTGTTGTATTTTTCAGTGATAAATGCTAAACTTCGATGTTAGATTTAATTTTTGAATTGCAAATATTGATATTGACAGGCCTTCGTTTAAATGTCTTAATGTTTGTGTTCTTATCTAATATTTACCCTCTACTATTATTAGAATATACTAATTTATCATGATGATCAGGGTCAAAAAATATGGTTACAGTATATATTAAATCGTTATTTTTTCAAATAAATGTTATTACATGAAAATCAGTCTTATCAGGTCTCGTACTGAAATTAAATGTGAACACTGCTAATTTGATCGTGAAAAACACGTTTTTGGCAACTGAGTAATCTGGCTTGTTTTCTGTAGGGTAATGCACGAATAGTAATGCAACTTTATACAAACGATTAGTGTAGTTTAGGTTACAATGACCCCCATTACAGACAAATGACACGGCTAATGGATTAATTTGTTCAACCTTGCTTGTTAAGTATTGAAGAGACTTCAGCTTTAGTAAATGTCCTTTCTGTATTGCCTAACATGAATGATTCCCAATTATAATAAGTTATTGGACAAACTGGCTGCAATTATGAGTGTTCTGTGCCATCTAAAGAAGTTGTGTAATGTACCTGATGTCTTTTGGCACGAACCAGTAGGTGGCAGAGATCATCTTGCACACAAAGCCACTCAGGACTGTCAGTTCCATACACCAGCTCATAGGAGTTCAGGCTCTCTACAAAGTATTTCTCAGCCAAGCCTGATGCAAACAATTGAAACAGTCAATGCATGTAAATAATTCCTGTGTTAAAACCTTCAACAATGCATTTTTGGGGTATGTAAAATGTTAACAAATATTGATGCATACCGTGGAACCTATCCCTTCTAATTCAGTAATTTTACCACAATTTCTGAAAGTAGAGCACACTTCTTTTGTATTTCACAATTTTAGTCCTGCTCAGGTGCTTGGCACAAGTACATGAAAGTAGAAAAGCTTGAGGAGCCATGTCATAACTATTCTTTGAACCCTATATCCATATATCTAAGTATGATGAGTGAAATGAACACGTGCCTGAGCTCTGAAAGAGGCAGTATGGTAAAAGCAATAACAGATGGTGCACACGGATGATTTGCTAGTCAACTTCGATCTACTGTACAGGAGACGTTAGCCTCCTGTACAGTACATTTGTACACTGTTGCCAACACAATCTGTTCATGTTTAGTGGACCACATAGCCTACTTATTGCAATGCAATGGCTTCCAACTTAAAGGACTGAGGCAGTTCTTATCTGTTTACAGCCCTGGGCCAGGGGTGGGAATTCTGCATTCCTTTGGCCGGAGCATGTCTGTTGATCCCATGACTCCTATTTGCATTCCACGAAGTGGTATTCATTTTATTGACTTCACGGACAGTGAAATTCCCCCAATCAATAAAACTGCACGTGCTGCCCCATTTATGTACGTAATCTTTAAATGTTACATTATGCTTTTAAATAAAGCAATGAAAAACACTAACACACCAACACTGTTCACTTTGAGAATGTATTCGGCCTACCCTCAAACTCTTCATCTTTGGCCGCTGCACATGCCTTGGCCATGATGTGAGCCGTCTCTGCTGCCTCCTTGCTGTCGGTGGTGTAAGAGGCCAGCGCAATGGAGTGAGCCTGCAGTGCATCCAGTATGTGTACATGAGGCTCACTTCGGTGAATGCTTTTCATTATGAATGACACGCAAATTTCATTTCACTATTTTTCAGCTTGCAGCTAAGACGCATGAACCATCATGCAGTGCCATTCTTTACAGAGCCATTATGAGGTACAGCTTTTGTGGAAGTATTGTGGGAAAAAAAGAGATGGTGGGAAAAGTTCACATTGGCCGAGATGCTGCCTTTAAAATAACCATCCATTGAGAGAACAAATGACAAACCATATTAAGTCCATTGTGAATAAAAAATAAAAAATACTTAAGGGCTCACTCGATATTTAATCCAGCAATTTGAATGCATGCTATCTACGGGTCAAGATGCCCCAAGCTGGAACTCTTGAAAGCTTCGAAGTGAGCACAGTACAGCCGTGACTTGCCTGCAGAAGGTTCTCGATTGTCTGCTGGTGGTTCTGCCGTGCGTCCTCTGCATGGGCCAGATCCTGGTAGGCTGGGATCAGCTCAGGGCTGTCCTCCCCAACTGACAACTGCAGTAGTTTCAGTGTCTTCTGCAGTTGCTCAACTGCCAGAGCTGGCTTCTCCTGTTGTATGGACAATCTGATGGCAGCCAAGCACACACCAAGCAGATGTGCAGCCACTAAAATGAGATAGCCTAGTGCTCACCTTCAAATTCACTTTTATAATTGAAGTCTAGACAAGTGTGTATCATTCAATACTAGCTCTTTTCACAGAACAATCAAAACATCTGCAATACAATGCATTCATGCCTCTACTGTAAGCAATTTTACGAGGATAACAATTACAATAGATTAGCTAAATAATGCTAAAATAAAAACACATGAAATTAAATTACTTACTGTACCTTAGTTTCCAATATATCAAAAACCTAATTTATTGCCTCTTTAAAATTGTTGATTTCATATGGATCGTTTATTTATAATGTTATTTACATGGTTATCAATTATAGTAAGGACGTCTTATATATGCAATGCATCTCTGACCTAGATAAACGTATCATCCACAGGTGAATCAAACCAAGCATACCATGGACAAAATGTCCAACGGCTTGCATACATAATGGATTCAAATTATTCCTACCAAAGCTTGATTTTAAACCGGAGACATATATGGTTGCATTCCCAGTAATCTGTAAATGGGATTTAACATTCTGATTCTATTAAGCCATCTAATTTAAAAAGTTACTTGTGGTGATATCATTTGTTCTCCATGGGACAGCACCTGCCCAAGGCTTGTGTGACTTCCAGGTCCATCTCCCCCTGTTCTCTCTCCAGCACCATCCCTGTCTTTGACAGCTCATTTGCAATCTGCTCTGCCCTAAGCAGGCATTGTTCTGCCTCTTTCAAAGTGATGCTTGTCAAGAAGTCATGTGCATTAGAATATTGTACAAACACATTCTTATGCTCACAAAATCAGATATTTGAAGGATTGGTTATTTTAAATGTATGCAAATTATCCGCTGTTACATTTCAGCTAATGGAGCAATGTTGTACACATTTTGACAATTTAAAACAAAAAGATGATCAAAACAAATGTTTTTTTTATCATAACAATTCATGGAATTGCTAGGCGGGGGGTGAATCATTACGTTTTTTTATATGTTTTTTATATGTAAAAGTATTAATTTTACATAAATATATACCACGCTATTTCCCGGTTCCATATCGAAAAAAGAATCACTTTCAAAATGTACATAACAAAAGAAATTACAACATCAACATAGAAAAGCCTTTGCAAAGAGACCTTTGTTTACCAGACAACATTTAGTCATGCAAGGGGTAAACCTTCACAGAGATCCGTTAAAGGTTCAGTACAATACTTGTGGTTCCATACGGGAGTTTGCTGCACAATGGAAAGGATATTTTTTTAGATGAGTGTTGGCCTTTCCCAGCGTGCAGTAGATTGTGAAGAGAGTTTTGAGTATGTTGGTGCGCTCTCCCGGTGACGAGGGACTGTGAGGCGCTGTCAACATGATCGCCTGGCCTGTTTCACAGTGCAGCTTTGCTTGCAGTGCCAGGCCTGGAGTTGAGGGAGAAGAGGGTGAGCAGGGTGTGATAAAAGTTAACACATTACATCAAAATGTTTGTTATTATAGATCGCCTATGTTGATGAGCCACATTTACATTTGATTTTGTTAATGGCTTGTTTTTTGGTGTACACAGTAAATCAAGAACCGTCTAAGCTGTATCAATTAATCTAGATGATAAGTAGAAAAGATGTTTAACTTTTAATCAAAGCTGGGATGCCCTATCAACAAAAAATGCAAAATGATACAAGTCATAAATGATCTCAGCTATTAAAACATAAGTGGCAGTTAATATCCTACATCAATTTTTCTCTGTATTTTACGCGTGATGCATATGTTTGACCATTAGTCCCAAAGTCTGGTTTGACCACCGGAATGTGAATTTGTAGTTGTTGCTCTGCATCTACATCCGCCATACGAAAGAAGAAAAAGTCCCAAAGTATCTCACCTCTCAGGCTTAGATAACCATGAGCCAGGTTGGCATAAGCTTGTGCCACCTGCCAGTGCTCATCTCCAAAAACAATTCGACTCAGAGCCACACACCGTATTAGCTCCGTCATAGCTTCTGGTATCTGTGCATATACATACACCCCAATAAACAAATTGCAAAAAGTTTATGGATTTATAATCAGCATGAAGATAATGTAAAAGCATCACATTTCTTTCAGTAATATTCTTTATCACTCCACTTAAACATAATTACACACAACTTTTTACGAGGCGACACTGGTTGAATCATAATGTAACATAACTAATCACTACGTGGCATTTATTGTAATACTAATATCATGTGTTTAACTAGGAAAGCACGAGTCTCACATTTTTCAGGATGGTGTTGCACTGGAACGTTTGAACACTTTTCTTTGATCGAGTATTGTTAATGTTGGAATAAACTGGTATACCCAGAGCAAACCATCACATATGAGGGAATAAACACTCAAAGGTTCACAATGGTGGGCCATGAATACATTTGATGAATTGTCACTTTGCAACCAAGTGGATTTGGGAGTTTCACAAATCTGAGTGATCAAACAACCCTCGCCTCAGAGACACTGATGACACGTGTGTACTGTAGACCACTCTTGGCATGCATAAAATAAAATGATTGTCTGCCGTTCGGAACACAACCTATATATATTCACACCAGCACTATAAATATCTAAAACATTGGCAAATAATACTGTTGGGTACTTAGAATGCTACCTGTTTGTTTCTCATGTGTGCCTCTGCCATTTTCGTGGCGATGGGCAGTTTGTCCTCAGGAGGGGAATGCCATTCGCCAGACGTGAAGTCGCCACCCCTTTTCCTCCGCCTCCTCTCTCTGGCGCTGCCACTGGGTCTCGTCGACGGAGTTTCTGTGTGATCGCTGGAGTGGCTGCTGTTGAGGCTGACAAGAAATAAGTCTTGGATAACTCAAGATGTTTGTTATTCACACAGTTGTGTTCAATGCGAGTGCACTGCTGTCAAGTGGCATAGGATCGTCGGCACACCCCAGGATGCAATACATGAAATGTGGTCTCGTATCCATTTCTTTGTGACCGGGTATAACTGGACCCTCTCTGTGGACCCCAG